ACCAATTTAGTGTTCGGAATTATTTTTTTATACGATATACAATTGATTTACTAGACGGTTAAATCGTTAGCCGAGATACCAAAGTAAATGTGATACGATTCATTAGAATACTACAATTGTATTGGACAAAAAATTGTTTCGAACACTCAACTTACTTAATTTCACTAAACATTAGGACAAAACAATTTCAAACTTTGTAAAATTACTAGGTAGCATTGAATGAAGCAAAGGCATAGATAACATTATAAATTACGAAGCCATAGAATTTAAGGCAGTGTTTATTTAGGAGGGGATTATAGATAGTGATTGGATACTAATCTTGGGAATTTATAGGTAGTTTATAGAACTTGCTTTTCTGTTTTCAACATAAAGTTTGAAGATTTTGGTCTTATATGACTGTATCATTATGATGAAAAACTATTTGCGTTAATATTGACTTTGTAGTATTAGTATCGGTGCTTTCATATTCAGTGATAATCAAAATTTTCCACAGTGCATGTTAGGATACCTCCTGGGTGGTTATTTTCAATGAATTTAAAGGTGAGTTATATGCAGATTTTTAGAAAAGAATTAGGATTCCAAACTGTCACTTATAATTTCTTTAGAGTTACTGTATAAAGTAGAACATTGGGCTGCCTGTAGTCTAGCTTTAATGTATTTTGTATCTTTATAAAACTTGTTCCAAAATAACCAAAGTGAAAAAAAATGGTATCTGTAAATTTCTGATAAAGTGTGTTGGGCGTTTGCAAAATCATTACTTTACATCCAGATTCATGCTAATTTCAATGAAAATTTTGAAAATGTATTTGTATGTGTAATATTGTGAATTAACCAAAAGGAAGCAATTAACACATTATCATTGGCACTTCACAAACCAAGTAAATTACCAAAAAGTGGTCAAATTATGCATCAATAGCCTTTACTGTGTTAGTAACCCAGTAGAAATATAGTTGTAAATACTTATAATTCAGTCATTAATCGCTCATACATATAATATGCAAAATATTGCTCGAATCTTGAAACTTTTTACTTTTCCTTACATCTTAGAACATTTTTCTCAAGTTTGATTTTATTGAAATATTTTGACTCATCTGGAGGCATGCAGTCTTCGAAATTAACGCCAGTCCGAGGCCCGAGGCCACTAAATTTAGCACCGGTCTGGTGATTATTGCAAGGCTGGTGGTCCGACGGACCAGTAGATTTTTTTGTCATGAAAAAATATTATAAGAAAAATTCATCAAAATAATGAAGCAGGGTTCTCTAAAAGATTGATCTTTTTGCCTTTTTGCAAATGAAACCCATCAATTCTGTCCTAATTGTTCAAAACACAGCGAGAGATGTCTAAATTGTATTGAGTAATGGAGGCCGCCATTTTTTTTTCTTGGATATTTTCCGTACCGCACCGTACAGTTACGGAAATTAAACCATTGTTTATTATTGTCATTTTTTAGCTATGATTTTGTGATTATTGAGTTAAGTAAATATTTTGTGTGAAAGTGATTTGCTTAAAGCAAATTGCGTTGTTCATGTTCAATTCTAGTCAATTTTGCCTAAACATTTGGTCCTTAAAGATTTTTCTAAACGCTGTCAACATATGGCCCAGAATACAAGACATACTATGCTTCTTTCAATTTATCAAGGGAAGCATGATAAAGTGTTTTCCTGTTTCCATCAATTTTTTACCTATCTATGTATTTGGTCCGGCTAAAAATCACCAGGTCCAGTAAGATTTGATATTTTACTGGCCCGAATGTCCTGTGCTTTTTAAAGTTTTTCGTGAAGACTGGGCATGTAGCTTTATACTTATAAAATTCAAAAACAACAGGCAACAGATACATGTATATTATGTGCTTTATACAATTTAAATGTTTCTTAAATGAACAACTAACTTAGTACTGGTTGGCCAAGGAACAGATTAGAGATTGTTTCTCAGCTTATAGAATGCTGTAGCTTCCTACATTATCATTTAAAAAAAAATTCTGTATAAACTGAAAAAAAAACATCCTGAATTTGTTAACACCCTGAATTTGTTTCAAATTCCTTGTTATTGGATAACATATTGTATGTCCAGATTTAATGAATTCAAATAAGCATAGGTTAGTAATAGAGACCTTCCATTGACATCTGAATTATATGTAAATAACAATGTAAATGTATTAATGGATGCTAGATTTAATTGTAGCAATTTCCATGTGATTTAGTGTTGCTCTGAGCTCATTTAAAGCCTGCTGCAGTATTAATTAGCATCATTAATTTTGTATGTATGTAAATGGGCCGATTATGATATACATGTATCTATAATTATGGCTCCTACTTTAATGTCAGGATTCCTGGATCTATTCAGTATTGCGTTAACAAGCTGTACTTAAATCATAAACTGTTAACATATCTTACTTATTTTCACAATACAATGTAACATAATATATCTCAAAAATAAATTACTGCAAAGTTGCAAACATGCATAGTTGAAATATTAAGTAGAGACCTTCGTTTTGTTTAGAAGTTCAAAAGTATTGGTTTGTTTAAGTGTGTAAAATAGTCTTACTGTTAGTTAGCAATGTAATATTATAAAATCTATTATAGTTGTAGATATTTTTTCCTTTTTTTCCCCCTGATGTTCAAGGTAAAGCAACCTTTCTCTTCTTTTAATTCATTGAAGTTTTTGTCCTGCTTTGTATTTGAAACAATGTGTTGCTAGTAGTTAAACAAAAATACTATAGTTTAGTGTTCAGGACTGTAATATCCTAGTAACAAATACAGCAGTATAATATTTAATATTACAGTATAATTTATAATTCTTTTGTTTTCAAAACTACATGTATGTAATTAACCTTTAGCCTTCTTTGGAGTGAATGAATATATCCCCATGCAGCCAGTGCAGACCAATATTAGCCAGCACCTTGGTGTCATCTTATCATGGTCTGCACTGTTCATTATTCAGTCAGTACATATTTCTTAAATTTTCCTTAAATGTGATAAACAGTTTTGTCCAGATCGAAAAATTTGCAATAAGTTTTGTTTTAACAGTTATTCTCAAGATTCTTTTTCCAAATCTACATAGAATGAAAATAAAATTTTGACACTATTGAATTGGTCAAGGCTCAGCAGAGCTTTATATTAACCCTTGGGTCATGGCACAAATTGTGTGATATTTGTTTACACACATTTTGTACAATGTTTATCAAATTGATGTTTGGTAGTTTGGGTATCATATTTCACCAACATCCAGTGTAACTACAGGTATTAAGTTTCATCAACATAAGTTAACTACATGTATAAAATTTTATATTTACATCAGATACAAATTGCATTTTAAACAAAATTCTTTTTAGATGAGTTGATCAGATGATATTTTGAAATGTTAAATCAGGTTTTGAAATGACATCATATACATGCAGTACTGCATGAATACTTAAAGCAATTTGCTAATTACACTTGGATAATGGCATGTAAATGTAATGTTTCTTTACATTTGCCCATATTTTCAATTTACTTATTTTATGGAGGTAGTACATAGATACAGCAAATACGAATTCCAGAAGCAACCCTGATGCTAATACAAGCCCAAGAGAACACCAGAGTACATGGGACCAGGGTTTTTAAGGCGTCATTGGGAGAACAATAAGTATTGTGAATGGGCGTGCAGGGTTTCAAATGTAATTGTACGACCGCCCTGAATTACTAGTCAATGCAGCATATTACCACTGGACCATGTATCTGCTCCTCTGAATTAATCCTCTAAATGAGGGTCTGTCAGCTCTTTCAGGCACTGAAGTACTGAACCCGGAACTATATTATAATTATAATGACTTGCTCAATGTCAGCAGTGTATAGAACCACTGGATCAATCTGCATGTAATTGCAATGCTGAGCAGTCAGTCAGCTTCTTAAATTTAGCAGTTTAATACCAAAATCCCTTATAAGTGCTTTGTTCAAAGTAAAAAAAAGCCCATTTTGACAAATTTACAGAATAACCAGTATTAACTCGCTGGTACGGAAAGTTTTTAGCCTTTTCCTCAACACTTTTATGCATTCTGACTAAGCTCCATACTAAATGGTTGCTCAATTTTGTATTTGATACTTTGAAATCCCATAAATTTCAAATAGACTGTCCCAGATTCAAAACATTGCAGATCCATTACAAAAATTTAGCAAGTTAAGGGTAAAGTCACAGGTATACCTGAGGGTCAAGTACAGAAAGGGGTAATAAATGTTTAATAATGAGAAGTTTATGGTGAGAAATTTTGAAAGTTTCCAAAAATTTTGATTTAAAGCCATCATTAGGTTGTTTACTTTTGATAAATAATTCAGTCATGTGCAGCATTGTAAGCTGATACGATACCATCTTATTTTGAAATGTAATTAACTTAACATTGATTGAAATGGATTGAAACATGTATGATAATTTTATTCATTGGCATTTTAATTGCTATTTTGCATTATATACATGTATATGCTAAATTATAGTAAAATATTCACATAAATTTTTAATTTATATGCAAATTACTTGTATTCATCTTTGATGTTAAAGATTTTAAAAACAGACTGAATATTACATAACTTGTTTAATTAAATCTCATATTGAAAGACAAAGTTAATTATGTAACTTTTAAAACAGAATTTTACATGACTTGTTCAATAATCTCATTATAGAACTTTAGACAAAGTTTGATGTAACTTTTACTATTACTATCTTTTCATTGAAAAAAAAAATGTTCAAAGCTAAAAAAAAGCATTAAATTTTGTTTTTATTGAACCAATTTTATATCTATTCATTGCTAAATTTGAACCATTTCGAGAAAGTTTATTTTTGCTTGAAGTTCAGTTTCCTTAGCTGTGTTTAACTGTACATAAACAAATAGAATCATAACAATAAATTGCTGTATTGTTCCCGTGGTAACAATAATCCTATTATTCTGGCCTTAAACTTTTTAAGGCGTGTGTCTATGTAATGTGTGTTACCAGTGTGTATTTTTAGCCGCAACCAGGATGTAACTGCTTTGTAAGTGTAAATTCAAATGAGGATGCGTGTGTGATACTATAGATCCATACAAGTAACATATATATATCTAATGAAGGGATTTGTAAAAGAAGGTAATATACCAAAATAATATTCATAATAAATAAGCAAGTTTTATTCATTATGCTAAATTGAATCAGAATATGATGATATTGATACATTATAATGTATACCATATAGTAAGCTTGTGATTCTTTGTTGTGAAACTTTAAATTTAAAAATTAAATATCAATTTCATCTTCCTTGAAATTTGCATAGTTTTTATGTCATTTTAGCTTAATGACACATACATATGATGAATATGTCTATATGATATATGTTTGACATATTATATCTAATAATTATAAAAAAAAAATACATGCATACTTTTATTCTCAGTAGCAATCGTTCTACATTCTACGTGTTTTAGTACTTTGATGTTGAGATGGGGGGAGGGGATCATCTTTAGGTTTTGCAATTTGCTCGAATGTAATTAATTTGCATAGCTGCAAATTTTGTCCAATAATTTGGACAAAATAAAAGCCATATATATATAAATATATACTAGCTGATGAGGCTCAGAGCAATGTGGTGATGCCTTTTATCAGAGATAATTAAAGTTTTATCAGAAAGTAATAAGCCTTGAACATGCCACCAGTATAGAACCAGGCCAGCTTTCACGTCTGTGCAGTCTGACCAGGCTTTATACTGTTGGCTGACCTGAACTTCCTATTGTCATTGTGAGTAATACCCAAAATTTATAATGAATAGTTCTAAAAAATAGAAACTGGACATTAAGTCTTTGAAATTCAGCAGGTTAAATGTTCTGTATAACGCACAAGGTCATTCACAAATCTGGTAAAAGGGGTGATCCCTCGGAAGCATTTATCACAACTTTCAGACTTGGTTTATCACAAATTGCGGACTCAGTTAGATTGAGTCTGTACATGATGGATAATGAAAGAGTGCAACATCCCTCACACCCACCTAGCACCGGCTTGAGTGATACTCACTTAAAGTGCTGGAATCAATGATACCAAGGGACCAGAAGTCCCAGCTTTAGGGTTTTGTGAAAATTTTGTTTCTTTAATATGTTGACATTTTTTCAGACATCTATTATTCATCTTAATACAAATGTCATGGATGTGTTGTCTTAAAAAGAAAGCTTACTGTCTTACAGAGCTATTGTGGATTTCTTGAAGAAAAAATTTAGAACATTGTTTTGCTTTACTAGTGTCCATTACTTATGTCTATGATTTCCCTGTGGAATTATAGATAAATCTATATAGATAGGGAAGTCCTTTTTTCCTGGATTAGATGTCTTGTTAGGTATACGGGTTTGAAATCAATAAGAGATTTGTTGAAAAATACAAGTGAAGAGGTATTACTTGGCATGTTGGCAAGATTGTTATAGGTGGGTACCAGAAAGCAGCTAGCTCTGGAATCCACAGAATGTGTGTATAAATATACACGGTTATTTATTTACAGTTTAACAGTTAGATCAATTCAGAATGGGAAAATTCAACTATTTTTTTCTCTGGTATTGTCTTTATTTTTGTGAATTTGGCCTATTTTATTATCAGGTATTTACTTTTACATAGTAGGGCACATTGAAAATAACTTTAAAATTAAGGACAATTTAAGTATTTTGTCTTAAAATGTTCTGAAGTTTTGAATTTATTATTTCATACTTTCTTTGAGAAAAAAAAGGCCTGCAAGTCATGAAGCTACTCAGCCTAAGTTATTTGCATATGGCAACAAAGGTTATGATGTTGAAAGGGTCCAGTACAATACACCTATATTATAATAGCACAATGTCATAAATTTGTTTCTCTATGACTGAAGTGTCAAAAGAGTAAATAGTACCAATTTTATTGTCTCGTGTAGTTCATGTGGAATATACAAATATTCATAATTATGTAAGTTAGGTTTTATGAATATAAATTGTTATGTAGAAATTTGTTAAGGTAACTTTTGTCTCAGATATTGGCCTTGTTTTGTTCAGTTCAGTTCACATTTACTCCATGAATCTGACATTATAAAGCTTTCCTTTATGCTAGACTAATTATATCTGTCATATGTTGTGGTTCGAATCGGAATATCCGTCCCGAGAGAACCCTCCATGTGCGTGTTCCCAAGGAACGAATATTCCGATCCAAACTGCAAACATATGTCAGATATTTTTTCTTGCATATTCTACCATATTCCATTATATTTTAAACTATTTACCTTAATAAAACAGTTTTCCATGGAAATTTATGTCATTTCATATTACAACAGCCTATGAAATTAAAACTTCATTCATAACGGTAAAATGACGTCGTCCTAAGCGTTCCATTGTACAGCAGACTTCCCGAAAGTTGAAAAAAACTGTCAGACATTCGGTCTGACAAACCATGAAAATCTGTCGGACCGAAACAAAATCTGTCGGACCAAATAAAATTGATCAAAATCAATGAAAAACTTGTGTTTGTATTTCTAAGACACTTTTTGTTTTTTTATTTTTTTGCCGTAAAAATCGGCACAATCCGTACAGCGCATTTTCATCTCCTCCCTGTCATACACCAATGATTCATGGTTCTGCTTCCATTTTTCATTAAATTTTGTCTCAGGTCTATTCTTTTCATCCTTTTATTGCTGTTCTACGCGCTCTTCTGACGTAGATTTTCGTTTTTCCCAGGTTTGGCACCTTTAGCGACGCCATTTTGTATACATGCGGCTTGGATAAAAGCCGGACAGTCGGACCGATCCGGAATAAAAAATTGTCGGACCTGATCAAAATTTATCGGACATGTCCGTCGGACCGACGTATTTCGGGAAGTCTGGTACAGCATGCGATTCATTTGACCCCCCACCCACCCCTATATGCCAGATGAAATTTCTATCATGGGTAAAACTAAAGGAAATGTCAGTATTTCTCATACATTCTACATGTAGTTTGGAAAATTTACAAATAAGTTCTGACTTAATAGTACACAGTACAGACCATAATCATAACCATGGGACGTCCATGTCGTGACTGCCAACTTTTCTTGGTCAGTACTGGTCACATGGGTAGAATTTGTTGCAGGGGTCAAAAGTTAACCAATGTATGCAGATTGTGTTTAGGAAACCTTTCCTTTTTGTTGATGGGGTCGTGGTCAATTTTTAGCGGCTATAAATAGATTTATCTTGGTTTCTGATGATTTTAGCTATATTGGACCATCCATTGGTGTCATCGTTGTTTGATACTCTTCTCTATAAAACGAAAGAATATCATATTATATAAAAAAAATTGTTATCGTTTTTGATATCTTTACATTCAGGGGGGCAGGTGTTTATTAATTTCCCCTTGACAGTTAATTTGTTACAGAGATTAATTGGAAAGATGACATTTAATAACAAAGTCAATTATTTTGTTATTTTAAGCTACTGTATTTTGTTACTTTGTCATAAGTCTTTTTTTTTAATTTCTAAGTAGTTTGTACTCGTGTCTTAAATGAAATAAGATATTAAAATTTATTATTGTAACTTTTCAGAGAATGACGTATCTTGCTTCTACATTTGAAGTGGAACATTGTAGTTAAGATCTTTTCTTTTCAAGGAAAGAAAAATTGTACATTATATTCTAAAGTGTTATTTTTCCATTTTAACTAAAATTTTACCCACATAAAGAAGGTTTTTGGGGTATATACATGTAGGAGTGAGTTTGTAAGCCTGCCAATTAATAATGATAACTTTATAGTATATTTTGGAATGAGACATTATATAAATTAAACTCAGTATATAATATAAAAAAGCTTATGTGTGGAAAAAATGCTTAGGATTGCTTTTTTGGTGCCCTTGGGTCAATGCCACCGGCTTAAAATATATAATTATATCAGTTTTACCTTAATTGATTTTAAACTTTAGACAAATTTGTATAAATTTCAAAAAATAAACATTCAAATCAAACTCTATTCACTATTGGGAAAACATGAGCATCTTGCTATTGATGAATATTTACATAGTATTGAATGAGTGTTTAGATAGGAGCATAACTTTGATCTCAAGTGATCAACATATTTAAAACTTCCTAAATTTTGAAAGGGGCAGATAACAGATTTGTCGGTTACTTTAGAATTTGATAACCCACAGCTTTATAACTTAAAATAGTATGGCACAAATGGAGCATGATCACGAATTTGAGTGTATAATTGGGCATTATAAAACTCTTCCTAGAATTAACAATATTTACAGATCATTATTTTGTTATTACATTTGGGATTTTTCTTAATTAACTGCACGCAAATTTTCACAGTGACAGTGAAAGTAGAGTTTCATGTCCATGCAATATGGTGAACCATTTTTGTGTTGGTTACATAAGAGGTCAAATAAACTGATAATAATAATAACTGATTATTTTGTTGAGATATTGTGTTGTGCATAAGACCTGTGTTTGTTCTTGTAGAGTAAAACACGAAAATATTCATTAAATATATATAATATAATAATAATATATATAATAATTCATTAAATTAACCTGTTTTAAGTTATAACATTTGAAGGATATTTGGATAAGGGAAGTGTTTTGTTGTCAGGGATGGGGGATGTTAGAAGAAGGGCTTTATTTTATATGCAAGCAAATATTATAAAATTATTATGCAGGAAGTCTTGATTATGTAACAGGCGCTTGCTAATAATGTAAGATATATAGATTAGTATGGCTATATGATTTGTTACTGGTGTCCCAGATTTAAGGCTAATTATGGGGCATATTGTATCTGCAGATTAAAAAAACAACAACGACAACAGATATTTCTGTACTGTGGATAGATTTAATCTAAAGTAGAATCAATGGATTTCCTCTTTTGTTTCAGGAAATTCTTCTAACAGCAGAGATGTATTGGATATGTTTCCGTGCATTGATAGAATATGAACACTAGCAGAAACATAGAGAAGAAAATGGATTAAACGAGCTTGTAATATACAGGCGTAATTGACATTTACAAGTATTTCAGCGATTGACAGCTTTTTTGACAGGTCTATTGTTAGTAACATCGGAAAGTTGAAAGGTTGTTTATCTGTAATATATATACAGTGTTTAAATCTAAAAACTCCTGTCTAAATGACAGCTATTAGATGAAAGGTGGCTTTTGTTATTCATTTTGACGTATTTTTATTTTTAAAACAGGGATGACTAGATTGATAGTGGTTAAAACAACAAGAAGACGGAGTTAGTTAAAGTAGTTGTAATTAATGTTTATGAGTAATTTCGATGAACTCAGGTGCAAATGCATTTTTATAGTAAATTAGTGTCATGCTTTGTTTTTTAAAGGACCTAAGGAACACCTAAAATTTGTATAATGAAAACGGAGGTTTGGTGTAACATGTATGACGTCTTAACTGAGCATCGCTGATTTAATGTCGTATATAAAAATACTCAGATGGATTTATTTTCACACAATAGTGTTTTTCATTATACATGTACAGAGAAAAAGTTGATGCAAAATCACTGTTGAAAGTTTAGTGATTAAAACAGAACAAAAATAGTTTATATGATAATTCAGCGGAGGTGATAATTACAGAAACAGGAGTGATAACTCACGACAAGTAAAGGATTTGCATGGGCCGTATGAGAGCAAAACTGAAGAATGTTGTCGTCACAGGGATTATTGTTTGTTCAGTTATCTTCCTGTGGATGTTGGCCATCACAAAACAGGGTAAGTATAGGAAATAATGATTAAAAAAATTAATATTTAAAAAAAATCAACTTGTTCATAGTTGTCATAGAAACATTGTTGACTTTTTTCAGCATGACATGTTTAGTATCCGCTTTATTAATGACTTGTATGAATTTACTTGTCGACAATTAATTATCTTAGCAATTAAATATTAAAGTTCCTTTATTGTTAAGATCTCACGTCAAAATTTCTATCCTTTATTCATTTGTTAATAAGTCATGTGCTGCTTGATGATGCAAAAAAACAACAAAAAAACCCAGACCAAACTTTGTTCTTGAAAAAAAGATATTTCTAAATAATTGTCAGTCAAACATTGGCATGTCATTGGCGTACTCATTGGCTTTGTTCTTGTTGTGGATTAGGCCCTTGCGGATAAATTTTAAACCATTCTCCCCCAGTAATGTTCCAAAACTGATTTATTGTGTAGCCAGTATTATTAGATTATTTGGCAAGCTTGATCCCTTCTTTAGTAATTGACATTTTATAAGAAGATTTTATGAAATGCATTGGCATGAACCTTCCCATTAATTATCTTCCTAGTCAAAAGCAATCAAGAGTTAACAGGGTAAATGGGAAGAACCTGTCATTTTGTCTGTAATAGACTATTGATTGCGTGTCAATTGCGATATTGCGAAATGAAAAGATAACATACCGAATTATCTGGGTAATTCTTTTATCCTATTATTTAGTTTACAGCTTTTATTTTATCAGCTGTATTTTGTCTTAAGTTTATTCATAAATCCTATCATGCATGTATACTTTATCACGGTACGTTACGATACCGAAATCAACTTGATTTCGGTAAAGTTACCGAAATCAACTTTTCATTACCGAAATCAACTTATAAAATCACAATTAAGCTTTTTATTATATTTTTTTCATTATTATATATAACAATAGGTTAAGTTTGACTTTCATGCAAAAAATCAGTTCGAAATAATCATTAATAATGATATTAGAAACAAATAACTAAATATCAAGATTATTCCCTGATTTGTCACGAACCGAAATATATGTTACAATACCGAAATCGACTTGTAAAATCACAATTAAGCGTTCTATTATATTTTTTTTCATTATAATCTATTACAATATGTTTAGTTTGACATTCATGTTAATAATGATATTAGAAACAAATAACTAAATATCAAGATTATTCCCTGATTTGTCACGAACCGAAATATATGTTACAATACCGAAATCGACTTGTAAAATCGCAATTAAGCAATCTATTATATTTTTTTCATTATAATCTATTACAATAGGTTTAATTTGACATTCATGCAAAAAATCAGTTCGAAATAATTAATAATTATGAAATTAGAAACAAATACCTATATTTCAAGAATACTTCCCTGATTTGTCACGAACCGAAATATATGTTACCATACCGAAATCGGCTTGTAAAAGTTAAACTAAACATTTTCATAGATCTTGTTTAATTAATTAATATAAAATCATTCAAACTGAACCATAAACATAGGAAAATAATATTTAATTATAAAAAATGATGATGTTATAGACGGATATGTATATTATATCATGATTACTTCCCTTGTTATTAATGTGTTGCATTACCGAAATCAAATCAGATTTCATTTCAAAGATGAGAATAACCCCTAAAATATTTGCATGAATTTCAGAAGTCTATGAAAAAGGTATTTGAGTGAGTTTTAAACTTTGAATTCATATCGCTTATTTACAATGTTTAGTCAGATAACATTGCAGCGTATCATCTCTTTGATGTTTCTTAATGATTTCAAAATACAAGATTAAACAAAACTGTGTTTGAAGCTATCCGCCTAATTTAGATCACTATTTAAATAGTTGATTGGAATTTATCACAGAATTTAATTTAAATCCAATGATTATGATTTGATTAAAATAAAAAGACGTAGCGGTAGCCATTCATCATAACACCTTTACTAATAAGGAGCAAGCATACACGTGCTCGAACAATGGAGGTGTTAGTTGACATAATTAACATACTCGTTAACAGCAATCCTTTAATATATACATCGGCGCATGGAAACTTTAGAGTATCCAAACAACATAATTAGACATAATTATTTTGCATGAAAATAAAGCTGCTTGTCTCCATTAAGACAAAAATACATTACAGTTTAATATAAAATGACATATAGCGACCATCCCTATATATATCAAAATACTTTTTTATTAGTTCTATATTATACATATTTCAGATCTAGTAAGCTGGTAAAAATATAATTTTATATTAAATAAATTGTCAAAAGACCGGTTTTAACTAATTTATAGGGGTGGCCGTAGAAAACATTTCGGTATATGAGACAAGGTGCTTTGATATTATTATTACCAAATTGCATATCAGTTGTTCCAAAAATGTATGCAATGTTTTGATGTCCCGGGTACTTAACTACATATTCTACTTATTGAAAAAGTTGTTAAGTCATGATTTTATGTTGATCGATTTAAAATCATTTTAAATTTCATATCTGTAAACAGCATAAATTTATGGAATGACTGGTATATATTTATTTTATGAAAAAAAAGGAACACTTTTTACTGACAAATTTCAATTATGAAATGTTGTAACTTGTACGATATGACATGCTGTGTATTACTGTATTAAGTAAGGTGTGAAGTAATTAAGACAGGAGGTACAGTTGACATATATTGTATGTAGATTATAATGAACCATCTGTTTATTTCGTATTAAACATTTAAGTAAATGACTAAAATATAAAAATATTATAATAAAGAGTCCCCATAACATATGTTAGTGATTTGTTAATATATAGTTAAACTGTTCAATAAAAGAAAGACACAAACTTTCAAATTTCCAATTTTACTGCCTGATACATCATACAATTTTTATGGAACATTTTTAGAGCAGTCGAATTATATATCTGTATTCAAATTTATAATAGAAAATCATAAACTTCCGATTGAAGTTGAATATTTTTTCTTCATAAAACATAAACATGTACAAAATTTATAATTATCTTTAACTCATATTACAGAATATTTCATTTTTCCATCATATTCCGATCATAGCTTTTTAAAAATACGATTTTATTTAGAAAATTGTTATGCACGACAATCACGTGCAGATATATAACATGCTAATATGGCGGTATCAGACTTTTTCTTAAATCATTATATACATTGCATTCTAAAATGAAATGGTACTAGTCTTCTAAGACATTACATGAAAAACATTTTCTATCATTTAAAGGTGTACTATTTGGTTTAGTCCATCTACCTGAGTCTATGTGCAATCTATGAGATGATACTCTTAACCTAGTGAGATCTTTACAAAACCGTTCAACATTGATAATATTTAGATATGGTTGAAACTTAAAAACAGAAATATGTCTATAAAATAGAGCTCTACTAGAGTTATCTAATCTACTATCTACTAATTATATACATAATTTAAACTTCACCGCTGATTTCGGTAATGCTAAACACATAACGGGTTGTTTAGAACAAAGGCTAGTAACTCAATAATTACATTTTTGTTAATAACATCATTAAAATAAAATATTTTCAATAGATTTTTTAACTGAAAGTCTATTTCACTATTTTTCATCAAATAATGAAGAAATAATAGCAATATTTTAACTAGGTTGGTTTTTACGAGTTGATTTCGGTAATGCTAAACACATAACGGGTTGTTTAGAACAAAGGGAAGTAACTCAATAATTACATTTTTGTTAATAACATCATTAAAATAAAATATTTTCAATAGATTTTTTAACTGAAAGTCTATTTTACTATTTTTCTTCAAATAATGAAGAAATAATAGCAATATTTTAACTAGGTTGGTTTTTACGAGTTGATTTCGGTAATGCTAAACACATAACGGGTTGTTTAGAACAAAGGGAAGTAACTCAATAATTACATTTTTGTTAATAACATCATTAAAATAAAATATTTTCAATAGATTTTTTAACTGAAAGTCTATTTTACTATTTTTCATCAAATAATGAAGAAATAATAGCAATATTTTAACTAGGTTGGTTTTTACGAGTTGATTTCGGTAATGACAAGTTGATTTCGGTAACTTTACCGAAATCAAGTTGATTTCGGTATCGTAACGTACCCACTTTATCAGGTTGTTTTTCCCCCATTTATGACAAGTCACTTTTTTTTAAACACTGCTTCCCAGTGGAATATTTGCTCCCTATAGTTTTAATAATCAACTTCACAGCAAAATTGTCATACCCGTTTTGCATAAATATTGTGAAAATAAAGTTATTTTAAAAATGTTAATGAATATTAGGGTATCAATATGAAGCAGAATTTGTATTTGTAAGGAGTGTATTATTAAAGCAACATTTTTTAAATATATGTCAATTACTATATTGTATACCCATCGGACATTAAAGCAGCTTGTGTTAAGTGAGTTGTGGTTAATTGGATTATTGTCCATGACTGACTTACAGTAACTCAGTAAGCCTTTTCTTTGCACAGATTTTCTGTTTGTTCAAGGTCAAAGAATTAAATGCTTATTGAATAATTATATTTTTTCTTTGGTGTCAGGGTTTCACTTGGCACCAACACAGTAAAGGTCATTTGGAGACTTTCCAGTTTTACTGGTGGAGGTAGACCTCAGGTTTCAGTCCATGCATTATTTAAGGCATGAAGAAGCACCTGAGTAGAACTACATGTACCTAAGTTACCTAACGTTCTGTATTTAAGCCTCACATGAATGACCCTGTCATAACTAGATGGATTATGAATTAGCTCAAACTGTTAAAAGTTTAATCTAGGTCTGGTCTAAGTATGGCATAAATGAAAAGTTAATGAAAGTCAATTCTATGATTTATGGCTGAAAAAAATGATGCCCACATTTTAATATTTTTAAAAATCTAAAAAAAGGTTTGATGCTATTTTTGCAAAGGGGACTAAAATCCAGGACAGTAAAGTCAACTTTAAGGAAAACATTACGTAAAAGTAAGTGGCAAAACAAGAAGAATAAACAATTAGACTTTTTCTACATTTTTTGTCTATATTTTAGATGGTACATATGAGGCGTTGATGCAGGATAGATATGTGGAAATGCAAGAGAAACTGGAGAAATCTGACCTCGTTAATAAACAAAGGCTCAATGATCTGCAGATTCTCCGAAGTCAGTTCAACTTTCTTGTTAGTCTCGTAACAAACAATGCTACCAACAGGTAATTCTTGTTGTCATTTATTTTGTTCTGATCTATTTCGCCAAACTGCATAATGATTAATCATTTTAATGATGAGCATCAAGAAATGTCAAAATGAAATATAAGATGCTCAAAGGTTTTGAAAATTTCGACAGGTGTGGCAGATTATTTAGTGTCATTTAAACTAAGTGTCATTAATTATGCGTTATAAACTTCCCCAACTTCCCTCTGGATTGTTTAGAATTGCTTATTGTTTTTATGATGATATACATGAAGAAGAAAACGGAACATGGTCATTTAAGTCAGATCATCAGTGCCTTGTACTGGTTGGTTCCAGAAACAGATTTGAGACCATTTCAGTACTGTAAGCTTATAGCTTCCAAAAATAAATTGATATAAACTCAGCAATGTTATATGGAGGCCCATGTCCCCACTGTGCTGCCTCAAGGTCACATCGCTGAAATGTTCACCTTTAAAATGGACCATAGCATAATGTATTGGGTCATAGAGATTGTGGGGGTATATTTGTCACTCCTGTGGAAGCTCTATGTCATACAGCTTAATGTGTTTAAATTATTTGTTGATAAAATTAGTGTAAGGTTTTAATGAGTTAAAGGTTACATGTCAACTGCAAGCTTGGCAGGATGTATAGCTATAAGATAAATTTTCTTTTATCAAAAATCTTTCCTACTTCATTTCAATGATTGATATGTATTTCACTGGACTAGATAAACTGAACCATGGCTTGATCAGTGTTTAACTGAACATGTTTAGATACGACTAGATAAACTGAACCATGGCTTGATCAGTGTTTAACTGAACATGTTTAGATACGACTAGATAAACTGAACCATGGCTTGATCAGTGTTTAACTGAACATGTTTAGATATGACTAGATAAACTGAACCATGGCTTGATCAGTGTTTAACTGAACATGTTTAGATACGACTAGATAAACTGAACCATGGCTTGATCAGTGTTTAACTGAACATGTTTAGATACGACTAGATAAACTGAACCATGGCTTGATCAGTGTTTAACTGAACATGTTTAGATACGACTAGATAAACTGAACCATGGCTTGATCAGTGTTTAACTGAACATGTTTAGATACGACTAGATAAACTGAACCATGGCTTGATCAGTGTTTAACTGAACATGTTTAGATACCATGTCAGTTGATGAAATCTTCCTGGTTTGATAACAGATAAAAAGAAAATTTCCCTCCAGAATCGATTTTAATGAATCCAATATTACCTTTGATTGAAAGATATATTCATTAAAGATATAAGGAACATGTACAAAATTCATGTATGTACAATCATGTACTATTTGTTTCTGATTTCCAAATTATTTTGGCAGAGTGTTTAGTTAGGATGAACATGCCCTAAGCTGCTGGGGGGTTTGAATCCTGTCAGGGACTTCTGATCTTTTTTATGTGAGGAAGCTATCCAGCTTGCTTACAGAAGATGGGTGGTTCTGTTTAGGTGCCTGCATGTGCCTGAAATAATACATGCAGGGGCTCCTGAGGCCTTCCTTTAACAACAAAGCTGGAATGTCACCATATGACCCTTACGTGCAAGTGAGACTTAAAACCCAACAAAGCAAATAAACTGTTCATTTTTTTCTGAATCTCAAAAGATTTATATAACATTTGGTTTTTCCCAATTTATGCCAGGCGCCATTCCTCACAATGGTTGCAAGAGTAAAGGCAGTTGAAACATTTGGCATATGTTTTTCACCACAGTCAAGCGTTAAACGGGATGAGCAAAATTAATGATCTCCAATTTTGCACGTTCAGTATGCATATCTCTACAAAAGAAATCTCAGTCATATTATGTAAAAAAAAAGAACGTCAGCTGTCAAGTCCTTTTAATCAATTATTTATCTTTACCTGTTTAAACATTACCCTGATAGAACCAGAGGTGATTAGCCTTTGCCACCAGTATAGAGCTAGGCCAGCCTGTGCTAATCAAGCTCTATTCAGGCTAATTCTTTTGGCTGAGTAGCTTTAAGTTTCATCTAGATATTCCTTTTGGATCTTACTTGCATAATGCAATTTGAACAAGCTCTATACTTTTGGTATAGTAACTTTAAAAGTTCATCTGGATAATCAATAAATTGATATGGACATTTTCAAAAATGGTTGTAGGTTAAGTCTGATTTAGAAATGCAAAAGGTTAATGATTAAACAGTAATGATGATTTTAATAAACAGCCTGATAGTCACTTGTATAGGGCTAGGCCAACTTACATTTTGGCTGTCTGTGAACTGTACAGTAAAGTGATGACACTTGCCCTATTGCAACAGAATTTGGATAAAATGGTGCACCATCATTAAATTTTAAACAATGTAACATAATTAAGGCCGTTATTGTTATGTCTGTTTGACCAACAGATGATTATATGTTTACAATTATTTCCAGAGACAAACTCCCTGGCATCTTTATGTACAGTATTAGATTATTCTGACAAAATTTAGCATCCAATATTTCAGGAAACATGACCATTTAATGATTATTGAGGTTATAAACGGGTCAAATGGAGAAAATAACGCAATTATATTGACCCTCAGGCTGCCTGACTTTCCCTGTAGTGTCCCATTTGCCTCAATCTGAGAAATCACTTCTGTGTGACATTTTTCGCATTAACTCTTATCTCTATGGCAATGTTGTTATTTGAAGAAAAGCTGATAGATTCTGAAAATGTGATTCAAAGTTTATTGTGATCACATTTTCATATGTACATGTATTTTCTTAATATTAAATTTTATTTTATTGAATTTTCATATTATCAAAAAGGATATCATTTGAAAATCTATAGTTTGTCTGTTTGTTTTTACAACAATTTTAATACATTTCTGGTCGTATCTTGGCTGTTTGTCCATCTAATTGTCTTTCCTTGATAACTAACCACTTATGACTTATTCTGAACCAGCTGTGAGTGACATCCATGTAGTGATGTATGTTCATAAATCTCGACAATGTCAGAGATCAGTTGTCACAAAGAAATTTTATTTGGCCAAAGATCGAACTAGAGATCCCTGGATTATAAGTATGGTGATCTGTCTAAATTGAGCTAAGTTAGTAAGCTGGGGGACTGTTTAAAGTAAAATCAAAATATTATATCTTGCCTTATAAGTAAAAAGTTGAAAAACTTGTGACCTTTTGGATTTATTGAATTTTCGTTTCATTATATTTCAGGAAATGCAAATGGCACCTGAGAGACTTTATTTAAGGTTAACAGTTATTGATATAATTATGAAATCGAATATTTGGGAAAACTTCTTGATAGGAAGCAGCCAGAAATAAACCATAGCATGCTGGGAAAATTGTCGCCTCCTAAAATTTATGCTTTATGATTAAGTTTCATTCTAAGTTTTTCTGAAAATTCAAATTGAGAAAATTTAGATTGAAAGTCCTTAAGGTTGGAGATTGACCAAACAGTAAGTTACTTGGCTTCTTGTCTGGTACCAAGAAAAGGCTATAAAAAATTACATTCTAAAAGTGCTTAGCTATGACATCAGGTTAACGGCTATTCACCAGGAAGAAGGAAATAATTTCTGCCGTCTGTAGTGATCATTATTGCATTATTACATTTTTTCCAGCTCAATGGTGAATGAGTTTCCACACATTATGAAGGAGAGAGGGAAGAATTTTAGCGAGGAGCTGGGCTCCCTCCATCTACCCAGCATATTTACCTACCTTCCTCATCTTACAGGACATCCAGATAGCCTCAAACCTGTGTTCAAGCTCTCGAAAAATAGATATGGAGGTATATATTTCGATTCTTTTCTTCTTTTTTTTTCAAGGTAAATTTTTCAGTGTTAGCAGTGTGGGTCATTTTTGAAAATATTTGAGTATAAAGTACTGGCAGAAAGGTATGTTAAGGAAATTTATTAAATTTCAGTCACCTTGTTGTTGACCCATCTACTGGTGAAATTAGGATAAAAAAAAGATATGATACTTGTTTTTCTACCAAATACTCAAGTATCAATTTTGTTAACAGATACTCAGTCATTTGATTGAGTACTTGTTTATCCGGTAACTTGATTTGATATCCTTAACTACCCTAGTTTTTGTAACTTTACATACAGATTTAATATTTTATAATATGAATGGTTTTCAGTAATGATTTCTTTATTAAATTGGGTGATAAAATATTTATGAAGTATCCCGAATGTGACAAGTGTCAGTGTGTAATAATATATCCGTGCAAATAAAGATGACTTTGATGATTTAAATATTGACAAAACAAAATTAAGTATTTGTGCAGTGTTTTATCCTGTTCAATCTGTACGTCAGATGCTTGGTACAAGTTAATTAAGTTTGATGCGGAAGTATTATTTAGATAAATAGCCGTCAAAAGATTTTGAAAATTTTTCAAAAACAAATCATGCCAACACATAGGCTTTCTAAATAAGTGTCAAATGCATTATTTATAAGTTAAAGTGACATTATGCCCATTCGTTAATGAATATTGCGTGAACAGGTGAAAAGTTAAAATAAGTTGACATTTTGTAATAATTTCTTACAATTTTATTATTCACTTCGCATGAATGATAAATAACTCGCATGGCTAAAGGAAATTTTTGTAGATGTTCATCAGAATTTGCTTTTAAAGATCAATTTATAAAAAGAGTGAGGGCAGTCTTTTTTATGTTTTAGGAATAATTATATTTTATCCTAAACATTTTTCCAGTATCAACTGTTGGTCAGTCACCATTATAACAGTTAATCTTATGAAATATATTGTCAATTCAGCTGATCTTAACAATGAACAAATGAGCATAATGTCATAAGGTTTATGGTTGGTGTTGACACAAAAGAATTGCAATACTTGGTTGTCTTTATACAAGTGACAATTGCATGGCATACCTTAATTGATAACACAGTGAATGGAGATAAATGACGATAACTATATCCAAATGGGGATAACAATATTTTCATGATGTGAAGTTTCATATTTCTAGCAATTTCTACCCACTAAGCTTTATTGTCCTATGCTATTTCCTCCTGTCTAAATGAAAATGCCATGAAATAGTAAGGGGGGAAAAAACCAGGATTTTTGTCAGAAAATAGAGACCTATATGTATCATACAATCAATAACATAACATTTCATTTGTTTTGAGAAAGATAGATAATTATTCTGTGATATTCTGTTTCATGTAAATCAAAGTATCATATCAACAATTTTGTGGACTGGTTGCCATAGAGAAATGTTTCTGACTGTAGCCACAAGTCTATGGAAAGCAAGGAAAGGAAAGAATTATAATGTAACCAGTCTGTGACATTTATAAGTTCCCTGTGTATTATATCATTTTGATCACTGATAATGGTGGAATTAGTGGCCATTTTGGCTGAACTATAGCCTTTCTTTGTCATTTGATGTTATTTGTCATTTTGTCTATAGTTGATGGTTAAAGGTGGCTTTTCAGAAAGAACACTCTACTCAAAGTTTAGGTGTAATTTCTTTTTAGGCATCATATTTTTGTAAGTGGCAGATCAAAAATGTCACCATGTATATGTGCAGGTATTTCCTACATGAGGACCTTTGACCCTTTGATATTATACAATGTTAAGAACGGGAACACAACTATTCTTTGATAATTATCATGTATCATGTACTGATAGGTACTGATTTTAAAATTGCTGTAAAATATGCTACCATGCTTTTCACAAAATTTTCTTTTAAAACATCAATTTTGATAGAGAATGCAAAAACAATTAATGTAAAAAAAAAATAGCTTTCTTTTCCAGGTACATATTTTGCTAGCATTATTTTTAAGCCATCATGACATTTTCCCTGTGATCTAATAAATAATGAGATAAAATAAGAAATCAAATCTGGTTGTCATGACAACAGTTGGTCTATCTTAATGACTACAGTCTCCAAGGATTAGTCTTTACTTTACACCAGTATTAATTACCTGGACAAATTAATACAAAACTACAAAATGTACTCTAAAAATCATTGCTGTTGATTTTTTATGACATTTTGTCATTTTCACGTAATTAAAGGTTTTCTATTTCAGTCACGTAGTTGTTAAAGTAAGAATGCCTGAAAATTATAGGTGTGGTGTATTTAAACCAATCTGGGCTCATGTAGGCCTATGGTACTTGCTGTCAGTATAGATTAGGTCAACACAAGTTCAACGGTTCTTCATTTCATGACAAACATGTAACGTTTAGATAGTTCGATTGAGATCTTACAGCATTTTGGGCCCTGAGTATTGAGCTAGGCAATCCTGCATGCCAGACAACATGCTGTATGTCCAGTCAGTAAACTCTTATAATTATGTAGGCTGTTATTTAAGTATTGTTGTGCTAAAATCCCTTTATTTTGAAATGGACTGTTCAGCATTCATTGCAGGGCATATCCAAATAATAATATTCCAAAGAGTCAGGGTTAATAGTGATAAATTTCTTGCCACAGATGTATTGTCTATACAGTATCGAACCTTTACCATAACAACCACATACAGTATGAACCTTTACCATAACCATGTACTTGTATATGTTTATCAGCAAACTGAATTGTGTTCGGATCTTGTTTTTCATTTATTAAAAGTGTAATGCTGTCTAGGATATTATTTTAATCGGCATCTGTACAGGTATTTATATAGCCTTATGTTGCAAGTAGCAGAGGGAGGTTTCGAGGCTCCGTCCTCCTCTGGGTTTGGGGTTTTGAGCCCAGCATGCTTCCACTGCGCCACTATGTTAATAAATTTTGTGTTATTTCAGCTACATGTATGAATAATGGTTCATATGTTATTTCATTTTACTAACATACATGTCGTTTTCATGAAAGGTGTACATTTCTGCCTGTCATATATAGAGGTACCAGTAGATATTCTAAAAATGCAATGTTATCTTAAATACAAATTTTTGTTTCTGAACAGCATCAATTGTGATGGGCATACCGACAATCCGTCGAGAAAGAGCCGACTATCTCTCACAGACAGTGAAGTCTCTTGTAGAGGGAATGTCTGTAGAAGAGCAAAACATGTGCCTTATTATAGTCTTTGTGGCCGAGGTAAGTGAGTTAAACTATTTTGTTTATACAGAATTTATTTTAGTTCGATTGTGTAGGAAGCTATAAGCTTATAACACACTCTCGAATCCATTCCTGGAACCAATTAGTACTGAGCAATGATCGTAAAGTTTCTTGCTCAAGGAAACAACGACTTGCACCTGATGTGGTTTGAACCCATGTGTTAACCACTTATTCATGGGCCACAAAGTTAACTACATGTATTTGAAAAAGCTTATGGAATGTATATAAGTTTTAACATCAATTTTAAGGAATACATTGCTTGGGGTTGCTTTTGTTTGATTTCCACATTGTCTTTTCCCTGGATTGTTTTCCTGTTGGTATGAAATTAGCAATTCAAACATTACTTATTTAAAATGATGTGTCTGTCTGTGTCAGAAATGATAATTTAAAGCAGTATCAAGGATCAATTTTCCCTATTTCATTGTCTAAGCCTACAATTATTTTGAATTTTACATGAAGTTTATTTCATTGGAATTCAACTTGCATTAAACAATTTCACAAAATGAATGAGAAATGCAACAATATAAAGGCAGACTAAACCAGTATAAAGTTTCATTGCTCAATTTTCACTGCTCCTGTTTAAGAGAACAAACTTGGATGTATTATGGGAACAACCCAAAGAGTTGTACAGGTGGCATTCAGTTTGGTCAAAAGTCGGATCCCAGTGGCCATGGTCAAAAGTCAGATCCCAGTAGCCATGGTCAAAAGTCAGATCCAGTGGCCATGGTCAAAAGTCAGATCCCAGTAGCCATGGTCAAAAGTCGGGTCCCAGTGGCCATGGTCAAATGTATCAATTGGTCTTAAGTGTTTGATGTAAAATGTTCACCATCATGGTACTATATATTCCCTATATACTACGTTATCTAACCGATAACTGAGTAGGTAACTGATGTTGGATACCAGAAATACTTGTGAAAGGGCATACATTTATTTTGTTGACAATAGTTCTCCAGTTTTGAGATAAAATTTACTGTAACAGTTATGGATATAATTGTGGATATGTTGCTGTGATATATTATATATTATGTATAATATGGTATACAGTGATATATTACTATATATCATTTTGTGGAGACAGTGTATTGATTTACCATAAAATTATCACATAAAATCATATTATACAGACAGTCATTCAATGCAAAGGTGGCTGCATTTTTACAAGACTGTCAGTCTGACTATATATCTGGAAATATTGAAATTTACATCCCTGCTTACATTGAGATATATTTATTGTTTTCCTGCAAGGACAGTTAAATCTAGGAAACAGTACTTTAACCCTTTCCCCCATGAGCATATTGTGAAAAATGCGCCGAAAAAGTGCTCATTTATTTTAGCAACATTTCTCAAACGAAAACATGTGTTTTGGGCCCAAATAGGACATTTTTTCACTTTTTAAGGCCCAAAAAAGGGGGGGGGGGTCGAAAGTGCGTTGTTTGGCGTATATATGAGGTAAAGGGTTAAAGGGACTCCACTGAGGTTTTTTGACATGATTTGGGGCTGAAAATTTTTTTTTTTATTGAAAAATGATGCAAAAATAAAAAACATAATTTTTACAACTCAGATTTGGCTAAGAATAGCTAAAAAAAATTCTGTTTTAAATGATATTCTTTGTATATTTCTTTTTTATCTTTTGTATATTTTTTTCATTTTAAGTGCCACAGTTGATCTATGTAAGAAATTCAAATTTTATTTTTTTAGGCTTTTTGACATCAGTGGAGTTCCTTTAAGGGTGTAATGTGTCCTGGTAACTGGCAACATATAAAATAAACATTTACAAAACTGTACAATCTCATTGTTTGATATATACATCTACCTATTAATATATAGTTTAAATCAAACAATGACATGCAATCGCAATTAATATATCACTATTAATGTATATTATTCAAATGTCAAGGAGCTCAACCTTTAATTAAAATCTGTAGCTTTGTTTAAATTGTTAATTAATGGCAAGATTGTAATGATTATATGGCCATATTAAAAGTGAGTTGTGTTTGTACCCTTGGTGATGTAGCTAGAAAAGTAAACATGTATTTTGATAATGTTTTGGGATGTAAAAGGAAAAGGAAGAAGTATTTAACTTTATGCCACCATTAGATATGAAAAAAAGTCAATCAAAATACTTAATATAATAAAGTAACATGTAGTCAATCATAAATGTGAATTCAAGAATAATTATTATAAAAACAAATTTGTCAGGTGTTTCTTCAAGTTGGTTGTGAGGCAGGAATGAAAAAAATGAATTTAAACTCAGTTGACATTTCTATTAATATGTCACAATAGTGTTGATGTTCAAATTTCTCTTTCAGCCATGGGACAAACCCTATGCAGAAGAAGTTGGCAAACGTCTTAGTAATGAGTAAGTTAAAATTATCCATGTATTAGTTAGTTTTCAAATAAGTGAGAATATGTTGTTTTGCACATCGTCTGCTTGCCCATTAGTCTGACTGTGGATTGCAGCTTGTCCCAATATTAGCTTAAGAAGACATGACCTACAGTCCTATAGATTTGTGTGGAGATAGGTCATGACTAGTAGATGACTCCTAATGATTGTAAGGTCAGTTTGTCAAAGGTCATGGTCACTGTGGTCTTGACCACTTAAAGCTTGTTTGATCAATAACTAGATAATGCTTTGACCTGCAGTCATAAGATTGGATTTTGGGACTGTTCATGAATTGTAAATGACGCAGGTCAAAGGTAAAGGTCACTGTGGCCTTGACCCCGACCAATAAATGGAGAGCACTTATGCCTACAGTCCAAATATTTGGTATAGATGTTGGTCATGACTAGGTAGAGAACTCTAATGATTTAAGATCAGAAGGTCAAAATTCACTGTTGCCACTTGACCACTTCAACCTTGCTCATCCAATAACTAGTAAAAGCTTTGGTTAACAGTCCTTAGATTAGGTTTGAGGTAAGGCCATGATTAGTGAATTATCCCTACTGATATTGAGGTCACAAGGTCAAGGTAACCATGGTTACAGTGATCTTGTTAACAGTCCTGATCTTTAATAGGTCCATGTAACATTACTAATATATTTGGTTTCCATTTTGGGTGTATACCTGTTTCACAAGTATTTCTTGTTTAAACATTCCGCACCTTGTAGTCCAAACTTGCACTCGTATGAATTATCTGAATACTATTGGTCTATATAGCTAGTTATATGGGGATCCTGGTAGGTTAGCTGAACTAGATGTCTTGAAATCCAAAGTTTGAGTCAAAAACTAAAGTCTTTTTTTGCTCAGACATTTTATATGAAGACACACTTAAATCTGTTTGACATGACACTAATAGCACAGTATGGTAAATTGACTAACTTCTTTAATGAAGGTACTGGATGCTCATTATTGCATTATTCAGACATGAGTATGAACTTTGGCGCACTCATTTACCACCTGTATGCTAAATGGATAGATTCCCCTGAAGAAAGTCATGCACTTTCTTTTCCATAGCTTGATTTGAACCCTCAGAGGTGATTAGTAAGTGATTTAAGTTCAGTAGCCTTGAGTCAATATAGCCACATTCTAAGGTTTATTTAGAGGTAATTAAGAGGTGATGACATTACTGTCAGTAATTACTAATTACTTTATCAGTAGATAAGTTCAGCACAGAATGTAATTAACTTTTTTTTTCAGTTGTATATTTCTAGAATTGTAATTGATACCTGATATAGGAAGAAAATTAATGTTTTGTGAGAAATGTTATGTTTTGTTGCAAATGAGAAACCTGTGATTTTTTTTTACATGACTCAGAAAAAAACAAGTGTGTTTTTTAGTATGAAAGAGCTTTAAAACACAAAGCAGTTTTTGTTTGAAAATCAAAGTATTAATTGGTGTATTATAAGCGTTTAAGTACATGTATTAATACAAGTGGAGATTTCCTGTATGTGTAATTTGAGTGTTGAAATTGTGTCATGTTACTATTAATTCCGGATAGTGTCACCTTGAACCAGCATAGAAAAAAAAAGATTTTTTTATTACTCCTTTAATTGCAGAATATTTATATAATGATTTTGCAAGCTTTAATGTAGGTTATAGGATATATGCAGAGTTTAAAGAAAGTAATTTTCTAGCGAACTAAGTGAAGCAGGAAAATTAGCTTCTTAAAACTCTGTATATAACATATAACCGTATTACAGTTAGTCCCGCCCATTCAAATTGGTGCATTGTTTAAATAGGCAGAGTCCATTAAATTGGCTCATTTAAAGTACAAATTTTATACATACAGTTAAGTTACAGTACTGTATGGTAAATATTTCTGCAAAAATTTAACAAAATAGAGTGATTTCATTGGCAGACACACTTTAGTGAACTGTAACATTTGGAACAGTGCCATTAAACAATCAAGGGATGTTATATCAAAATATACAAATTGAGTAGGCATATGGAGGCTTGCTTGTTCTATACTGATGGTAAAGCTTATCAGTTGTCATTTCAACTGTTTAAAGGGACTTCTCCGAGGTTTTAAGACATGGTGGGACTGAGATTAATGTTCTATTTGATGAAGGTCAAGGTCAATAGCTTGTGTGCAAAATTTCAGATCATTCGCTTACTCCATTTTTCCAGAATAACTAGTCTAATTGTGAAAAATAAACCACAGTTGAAAAGTGTGCAATGCTTTTCAAACCACAGTTGAAAAAGCATGCAATGCTTTTCACTGAAATCACACTAGAAATTGCTTAATGTGAAACCATTTGTCATGAATCTAACAAGATATACTTCAATACTAAATCGCTATAATTGGGGAAAAGGAGCATACTCAAAAAATGATTTTGCTAATTGGCCAATGGATGATTTTGTGTTCCATCTGCAACAGGACAAAAAAAAAGCTTTTCAAAAATAAAGATGAAAACATTTCTTGGATGTAAATGACAATTTAAATGTACCACTAAATAAGTCTAAACATTACAAGTAGGAGTTTATGGTAAAGTATTTTATTGGCAATTTTAGTTTATTTATAGACATCCTGCTAATTGCTGTCCCTGTTTACTCCTTCCTCCACTTTCTGCTTGTTATTTAGATAAATACAGCTTATTGCTGCAACCTTTAGGGAATAGTTTATTAAACAAGTTTGTTATTAATTCAGAAAAATAACTTAATGAGAAACTTAATCAATTCTGAAACATAAATTAATTGGACTTAGCTCTATTATTATTTTAATTATCAATGTAGTACTGGTGTATGATTTTAGTCTGTTTAATTAGGTTTTACAAACCATTCTAGATAGGGTCAGATTGGTACTAATTGATTGGCATGTTGTTTAAGACACCATCTTTTATGGTTTAAATCTATTTGATCCTTATACAATAAATGAGCCATATGTTTTTCCAGTTCGAAAATCTAACACAAATGTTAGAAAAGCGCCTTTTATCCTATGAAAACTTCTTAAGAGGCTTTATTAATTGTTCTGAATAATGGACAGCATTGTAATACATGTATGTAATTATTCATTAAAGTACTTGAAATGTTTACAAATCATGAACTTCTATAAATAGACTAAATGATGTTTTTGTTAAAGCAGTTTGCAAAATAAAAGGTGCACAATTAGTTGAGTAGTTATTGACTATACTTCAAACAGGGAGAATGAAGATTGCACATATAATTGATTGCTTTGTCTACAGATTTAAAGAGCTGAAACATGGCTCATGAAATGGCCTATAGATCTCTATATTTCTGTCTGTACATCCTGAATAATTAAACAGTTACAGTATATTTCCCTAATAAGTCTTTTTTTCTCTGTCTAAACTATAGGGATTGATTTAGCTATGTTGAAACCATGCATGTTTCAATTATGATGGAAGAAAAGTGAGTGTTTTTAAATGAGTTGAAAGTGTCTGAAAAGATTGACAGATCATATGCCATCTTAAGTGATTTTTCCGTCAGTCAATCTGTCAAATTCTTTTTCATTGTCAAAATCCATAGCTATAAACGCCTAATACAGTCAGACATGTATTAAGCAACCACACAAGGGAAACACCAAAAATGGTCACTTAATGCAACGATCTCTTAAGATAAAGCATGGGAAAAAGTCAAAGTTTATTCCAAAATCTTTCCTTTGCAGTGGGAAAGTTTTCCAACTTTATTCATATAAGTGTTTAATAATTATAACAGTCTGATAATCTAAATAGATGCTAAAATAAAAAAATGACTTTCTGATATTTATTGACAAAACTGTTTTTATCCGTTACAATTACATGTTTAACATTTTTCCAGAATTTTTAAGCTCCTCCATTTTTTTGTCCCTGACACTTAGCCTCTCATAAGTAAGGATGCTTTCTGTTGTATATTTTTCATTTGAAATAAACAAACTACATCTAATTGTAACAATATTAATTTAATGAACTGCTAACCAAGTTCAAGGTCAATTTAATGCAGTCTAAATATCAACAGAAAAGCATATACACCATGACAGTAGGGGTGGAGCGTTGCTTTGTTCTATCAATTTAATTGGATAATACGCATCACATGCATACTTAACTTCATTTGCATACACTTGAAACGGTTTGGGAAATAAAGTTTTACACACATTTGTGACATCACAAGGCAGCATTCTATTAAAACATTTGACAGGTAAAAATGATCGCTTGATGAAAAGATTTATCTCATTTATATTACTAATTAGTGGTCGCTGGATGTTTTGAGCAAAAGTCCCTTAACACATTAAAGATATAGAGAGAAAATGATCAGGGGTGAATTACAGTGGTTGCTAAAGACACAAAACATTAAGACAGTATGTTGATCCACCAAAAATCTTCATTCCATAGCCTATATCTATCTCTAAATGTGGATAATCAAATGGCTAAAATCTAAGGAAGAAGATTGATTTTATCTTTAAGGATCTGTACTTGACATACGAAATTGCCTACCTGAAAATGATGTGTTATTTGAGCAGTAATAAATATTTATTGACCATTGGATTAAGTTGAAATTATGCATAAAGGGGTGTTTATTTAGCCTAGTTAGGGGTTTCTTACTAGTGTTCTTGTTGATAGATGAAAAAAAAATCTTAAAGATGTCTGAAAACCTAGTAGTTTATACAATGATAAATGGTTTCTTGCCTTACTGCAGAGGTATTGTAAATGCATTTAAATAATTATTGTAAATGCCTTTAGATAATGAAGCATTTACAATCATGAAAATGAAAGTAGAAATTGATCTGCAAGTACATAATTATTAATTTGTTCTCTTTTTTTTTACTTTGAATAGATTCCAAGCATATTTAGAGAGTGGATTACTTGAGGTGATATCCCCACCAGCTGAGTTCTACCCTGATATGGACAATCTTAAACTAACATTTGGTGATACTAAAGAGAGAGTCAGGTAGGTATTGTACAGACTCATGCCAGCAGGAAAACTGACATATACCCCTTGGAGAATTGCCCCCTCCCCAATATTCGTCCCCTTTTTTGTCAAGGCAGATATTTGCCACCTCCTCTGTTTTTGACATTCACCCTCTTGTGTTAAATTTGCCATATAAATATAAATGGAATCTGCTCCCCCCCCCCCCCCCCCTCCTGTCAAAACATGTGACAAATATCCGCCAAAGCAAAGTAAGGGGACAAAATTCTGAGGGGGACGCATTTTCTAGAATAATGCCAGTAGAATACATGTAGATCCAGGCTAACTACATGTTCTATACTTGTAATGTACAGGGATTTTTTTTTTGTGGCTTATTTTATAGCTGTTATTGGGTCATATTCCCAATTGAAAATAGTCTATTATTTTCCCAGTTCAAAGGAAAAAATTTCCCAATTGAAAGTTACAAAACAAAAATATTGAATAAAAATTCTAAAATCTTTGAAAGTAAGGGCTCCTTCACTGTAATAGTGCTTAAATGTTTGAAGATGCCATCCTAGACAGTGATTGTTTGCATACATTTAATCACTGTAAAATTTCAGTCATGCATTTTTCCCCAATTTTTAACAAAACACCACTGAAATTCCCAAGTCCATGGGTATGGGTCATGTTCCCAAAATCCTTAAAAAATCCCTGGTGTAACCAGACTGTTGACTGTTGAAATTTTAGTATTTTGATATTTAGATTGTTTATAAATAACAAAAGAAAACTTCTAGAATAATGATAGGACATTCCAAGTCCCTGTGGTTGTAAAGAGGAGAAAGATATCACCCAGTTTTGGCTGTACATTATTTGAAATGGTTTTCTTCCTGCTTTATTATGTATGTAATCTTCTGATTTAACCCCCATCTTTCTATTTAAATGCAAATAAGATGTATAGAGACTTTAACTTGAGACATACTGACTAGTTCTGTATGTTGATGTCCTTGTATCCAGACTGATTTCACAGTTTATTATACTGAAGAAATGAAATACCAGTTATAAAATAAAACCAGTCTGCAAAATATAATATTTAACTACCTCTTCTAAAAATACATGTATTACAAGTGCCCTCACAGCTTATATTTTAAGATTCATAATTATTGCATTACCCAAAATTTTCATAGGGAGTGTACTAAATTAAATACCAGTATTAATTTAGTGGTAATTTAATCAAGACATTTAAAGAAGGTAAAGAAAAAATATATGTTGACAGTGTTAGATTTCTTTTAGACAGGCAGTTTCTATAGTAACTGCATATGCCAACTGTCAAAATGATCACTCTTTCCTTAGAAATAACAGTGTTTATACCAAATGTATGCATTTTTATATATACATCAAAAACTTATGGAAATATAAAATATTATTTTGACCTATTACATTTAGAAAAAGTTTCCTTTACTGTTTTCTCTCATTATTTTAATGTGGTCAAAGAACAGTCTTTGCTACATAAAGTTTATATAAATTTCTTTTACCACCTTTTCAGTTAGCTTTTTTACTTTTCATAGCAAAAATAAAAATATTTTCTTTTATTTCATGTTGTTTGAAGATGGAGAACGAAACAGAATTTAGATTTCACTTTCCTCATGTTGTATGCAAGAACAAGAGGTTTTTATTACGTCCAGGTATGTTATTTATGCTGTTTTATTAACATTTGCATGAATAGCTTGCCCAATGAAATATATTTGTCCTTAACTGTACATCACTCCCTAATGTTACTGTTTGATTCATCTTTTCCATAAGACCATAACACATATTTTCTTTATCTTTAAATGTCATACAATGCCATGATAATCTAACTTATTATTAATAATCATACAACATACAATAACAAACTCGCGATAATAATCATACAACATGCTTACAATTAATCTTGATTACTTGCAGCATCAAATAAAATTGTAATCTTTGTAAAATCTTAATATGCTTTGTAAAATCTAAATATGGAAAAATCTGTTGCTTCTACTCTTAAAGATATTTAGAATTAAAAAACAAACATTTTTTATTTCGCACAATATCTTTATGTAATGGAGAAGATGTCTCAGACAGTAAGAACAGTATAGTCTTTCGTGCCAAATTTATTATGTATGTATTTTGATGCATATATTTTACCACAAATTTGCCGTGAGCAGTTATGCATTGTTTACTTTGTTTACCCCCTTATCCTCCTATTTACATGCAAAATATCAAAAAAGGAAGTTCTTGGTTGAAATAGATGTATCTCATGTTTCGTTTGACACGCGTCATATAGCCATTTTCCATCAAAGCTTTTGAAATGTATCTTTTTAATTACTTAGGACATTTCTTTAATGCACAATACCAGTATGTAATTTCATATGGCCAAGTTATATTTAGAAGTAACTCAAGGGTAGAATTTATATCCAGTTGTCATTAAACAACCGCATTTAAAAGTTTTTAGCTATACTAATACTAATAGTAAAAAACATAACTAGCAAAGATTGATTAATTTTGGTGAGTTTGTTTGCTTTAAAGACCCTTCCATCTGTCTGCCGGACCGAATATGGATAGGGGACCATGTAATTGTTAACAGAACAAAAGAGAACAATAGAGTTCATTCCGTAACAATAGAGTAAATGGCTATTGGCCCGCTATTAAACAAAAGTAAATAATTAAGGAAATGACCCCTTATTCCATTTCAGCATCCATTGGTCATGCATGTTTTGTCTGTCTTTGGCATCTCATTTTTAGCTCAACTATTTTGAGAATAATAATAGCTATTGTACTTACATCGCATTCTGTGAAAATTTCTGACCAATCAAATACCTGAGTTGTGAGTTAAAGCTTAGATAATTTCTCCAAGGGATAGGAATAGTTCTCAGGTGAGCAATCTAGGGTCATGATGGTTCTCTTGTTTTACAATTTTCCCCAAACCTGCTTTATAAAAGCATGTATACATATAGCTATTATCATTTCTTTATTTTATACTTATATGTGCATGTGCTAGTTTAAAATAGAAAGCTTTTTGTTGTTGTTTTTCCAAATTTACAAATCATGGCTTGGTGCAAAATAGTAACAAAAAATGGAGATAGAACTATTTTCCGTTCCATTCACTGTTTTAACTGTACAACAGTACTATTTATATTATCTTGACAAATATTATGAATGTGGATGAAAAAACATGTCTGAACAGCTTTTCACTGTTGGAAGAATGTTTTTCTTGCTTGAAAAATTATATTTTTTAAACCCTAACACGTCTGTTGTAACTGTATAATGTTGCTTACTGTTTCAGTGATTTATTTAGACCTTCATGAATGGTAATTTTTCCTATGCCTTTATGTCTTTTTCATTCTGTTTGATAACTTGTTATTTGGTTTAATATTTTGCTTTGCTTTTTAATAGTTTTTAATTTTACCTTGATCCCTTCTGTAGAGGGGATGGTTTTATTGTTTTGCTGAGGCCCTCACGGAAGATCGGGAAACCGTTTGCAATAGCCTCATTTAATAAAGTTGTTTCTTACTTATTTCTTTAACTTTCTTACTTACTTACACATGTTTATTGTTTTAGTCTAACTAATAGATTGTCTTTGTAACAACTTTGTAATTCTTCAGTCATTTAGAATTATCAATCCAAATATCTGAAAGTTTTAGGATTGATTAGGTTTATTTGGGTAAGTTAGCAGTTACCCCTTGAGATAAAGTGGTTTCAGTCAGAAATGAAAAGTATTGTAACCGGGGGGGGGGGGGGGGGGGTTGGGGTTGAAAGGCCAATATACTTTATTCCTTACATTTAAGTTAGTTCCTGACAGTTAATGAAATAAAGTTTGGCATATGCCCGGCTATAACTGGCTAGAAGAATGGTTTGCAGTCAGAAACAGATATTGTATGGGTGATGTTTGCTTTGTCCCTGTCATGAAATAAAACTGCTAATTGTAAAATAGTAACTTAGATGAAGTCTTTCCTGTAAAGCTGCCAAACTATTGAAGAATTTTCTGTACTTATAAAACAACAACAAAAAATGAGGGATAAAAAACCTTCCAAATTCCAATTTTTGGGTATCAGTTTCAAAGGTCAAATTTAGCCCAAATGACATAAATCTTGATACTTTTAAGATATTTTTTGAATAATGTTATACAATACATGTAAAAATTGTAAGAATATATTTCTATAGGAAAATTCAGAAATTTAATGTTTTTACCTTTATTCCTCTTGGGGATAAATCTGTTTTGCATGTGGCATTTTCAAATTATTGATAGGGCTATCATTAGTTTTCTCTTGTAACAAACTGTATCTAGACAAATAATAAATATTTCATTGTTAAATTGCCCTGTAATAGACAAATAGTAAATATTTCATATTTAAATTTTCCTATAATAGACAAATAGTAAATATTTCATTGTTAATTGCAAGTGTAAATTGGTATTTTCATTGAAGTTGTGTAAAGGCGTCTTTTGCAGTAAGAAGGTGTGCAGCACACCAACAAAATAACCATGCATCTCCTTTTTCCATCATGATGCAAAAAGCACTGTGATTATAGTTTGAAAACATCTGTATTATTTTTCACTGTATAATAAATACTGTTTCAAAAATTGAGATTTGCATACATTTCCTTAACCTGCTGGAATCAAAAAATGATCACATTTGTGCAGTCTGACCTGGCTCTATACTGTTGGCAGCTTAACTTTGTGTTTTGATATTGAAAATCCCCTGAACTTTGATTGGACTGTTCCAAATTCAAAGCTGGACAGATCCATTATAGAAATATAGCAGATTAAGGGTTATTAATGAAATGTTGTCAGAACTTTAATGCTAAGTATTTAAATAGGCAATTTGTACGCTGAAATTGATTCATCTGGTTATTGTTAACTATGACTTACAGTTAGATAATAATTTGTCACGTTAGTGCAATAACTGATTAATTCCTATTAAATTTAGAAGGACTTATTCCATTACTGCACTTATGTGACAATATGTTGATTTTGTTCAGAATCTGGACACATTCGTGTGTATCAGATTAGTTAATATCTTAGTAATAATAAATGAAATATTGTTTGTCATGTTTATAGGTTTTATATTGAGAACAAACTATGTGAACAAAAGAATATCTGAATAATGCATTCTTTCTGCATGGCTAAAGGAAGATATCTGATTTTAACTATATTAGATAACATTAAAAGCACCATTTTCCATATTGATTGATTAATGTTTTAATACCATTCAATAGATTCCTGCTCATTGCTAATCCCAGAGGGATTTTGGAACAAACGCTGATAACAACAAGTTGAATAGATGAATACAGTTTTGTAGTGTTTGAAATGAGTGTATTTGAGAATAGATACTTTACAATTGCAATGAAACATTAAAGTGTCCATTAACAAAATTAAGTTTTCTCCTATTGATACAAAAGAGATTGTATTGGGTATTCTCTCTGCTTACATTATGCCTTGTTTTTCCTCTCATTAAGTTTACAGTTTTAGATGGGATTTATTATATTTTGTTATTAAATTCAACTATTAAGGGCTATTATTGATATTGTAATCGGAGAATGATTATTTGATGTAAGATGTCAACTGGTATAGTTGTGGTATGTGTTTGTGTGGACAGGTGGTACAGCTTTATAGAAGAAAATATATATGTTTATATAATGTCTTTAAAAGTGCAGTCATATCCATGATTATCATGTTTTCCTAAGTGACTCATACAATATAATATTTCAAAAAAAAAAAAAAGAGTCATATTTAAGAAATAAGAGTAAATATCACAATATGTTCCTTGGTATATTAGACTGTATTCTTTCAATTGATACATGCTGTTTTCCGAATGTAACATAGTATGTGTATATGTGTATATTTTGTTTTTGTCTTAAATGCCATATTTGCCAAAATAAAGAAGAAAGAAATCTTAAGGTCACTTGTCACTGAAAATAAAGATAAAATATAAAGGGATTCCACTTCAAAGTTTTTCTGACATGATGGTACTGGAAATGTTTTTCTGAGATTTGCATACCAAGGGCAAAATCTTTACAGAATTTCAACAGATTAAAAGTTTAAAAAATGTGAATTTATGGCTTACATTAAAGTTACATTAAATAAATATGTAAAAATATTTTGCCGTCGGCCTAAAAATCAAACATTCTACAGTTTCATTAACCGGTTTAATAGTTTTGTTGTAAATCTCATCAAATATTGTTCATAAATTAGGATTTTAAACAGGAAACCCCACGGTAACACTAAAGTTTGTATACGAATTTTAACATGCAAATGAAGACTATAATGAGCTCGTGTATGCGCTACGTCACAGTTTTATAGTTGCTATCCGGAACACAGCAAATGTGATATTTTCTTGTGCAAACACACTTTAACCGTTTTAGCTTCACGGTGCACTAAACCTGGGGTTCAGTAAAAGTAATCATCTCGTAAAAAGATTAAATTTGTATGAAAACATCCGTTACAATGCGGAAATATACCGTTAAATTAGGACTGCCGCTTATAGTCATGTTTGTTGATTTAATATTGATGTACGGATGATCCGAAGGCGGAGTTTCTCATGCAAACAGAATTTGTACTTCCCATTTCGCCACTATGAAGTTACCTATTTTTATGCTAATAAAACTCATTTTGGTTGTTTGGACACCAAAATAAGACATGGAGTCGACATGGAGACTTCTTCAAGAAATACATTGTAAAAAATCAATTTTTGAAAGAATTTTTTTTTGTAAAACCACTGATTAATGTTGGAGCTATTTTATTATTAATGAAATAATTAGAGACCCCTTTTCAAGTGATTAAGAAAGTTCTTTGACCCTAAACTGTACCCTATGTCCAGGAAAATAATTTTTAGCTTATCTGTTTGAAGAAAAAAATGGAGCGATTATGATTGCTGCGCAATTGTTGTACAAATACTTTAATGTTCATATTTTTTTCTATCTCTAAAGTCTTTGATACAAGAATTCTGATTGAAGCAATGTTTAATATTTTCTTTGATATTATTGATAAAAGAATTCTTATTGTTATTAATATGGCCAAAGTACTGAAGTGATCATTATTAGCTCATCACTACAAGAACAATCTATGGTCTGATTATGGCCCCTTTCTACCTATTTATATTGCATTATCCTCAAACCATTTCGTATTGTTACTTCTTTTGCTTTTAGGGTTTATAAAAACAACATGTAATTGAGATTTTCTTTTTCAGGAGATTATATTTGTGTCAAGTAAGGCACTGAGAAATGTTTGAATAAGTAAATGATGATACATTATTATATGTATTTCTATTTTTTCAGTTAGAGGACGATGTGATAGCTAAGCCCGGTTATTTTTCCATCATGAAGACTTATGCTGACCAACAGAAAAGCAATGACTGGATTCTGTTAGATTTCTCCGCCCTCGGTTTTATTGGTAAATATTTTTATAAACCTGTTTTTCGGTTTCATGAGAAATTTCAACCAAACCTTAGCAGAACTGCATGGTCCTGTTGTCTCAATGGATAGAGTGTTAGAAACAAAGGTTCAATTCCGGGATGTTGCAAGTCACTTCATGAAATCCTGTCTACGGTCATCCGCACTGTACCTCTGCTCTGGCATGTACAGAAGTTATCAGTTCCTTGCGAAAGTGAAGGCATATAAGTACTGGTAAATTGCTTGACAGCTTGCTCAGGAACAAGGCAGTTGCTGAACTGTGCTCTGGTGAATTCAAAGTGGCTTACTACCATGAACCAGAGGGTAAAAAGCCAACACCACCACACCTGAGCAAAAAAAATAAGACTCTTAATGCCCTTATGTATATATAAGGGTTTTTGTGATTCTGAGTTTTGTGTGTGTTTTTCCCCCACATATTAATATTGGCATAAGAGCAGGTTATTGTATGATAAAATATAAGCCAATATTCTCATTTTTCCTAATGTAGTATTTTTAACAAATGCTACACAAATATTGTTATAGTAACTGATCATCAGATATGTTTTTTGCTGAGTCATATATCAATGTTATATTATTATTTATAGCGCAAGTTTCAGAATTCAAATCACGAAGAATTTATGTCACTAGAATCCATGTTTCAGTAATAAAAAAATTTAATATTCAGTCGTGCTGAAGCAGATTTTTTTAGTGAATTTTAATATTTCATCTCCGATGTTCAGAGGAAATATAAGGCAGAGCAAACCGGTTTTATAACTGTAACTTGAGGAAATTATGAGTGGAAGTCAAGTGTCGTGTAACAGATTTAATGATGTGTGTTGTAACATGCTTCCTAACTATATCTAACATAAATACCTTGGTTTTAATTTGTCAAACATTATGATAGTTATTAATTTTAAATTTGAGCATTCATATAAAGGGTTTTTCGGGACTTTTGGGCAGATTTTTAGGAAAATGCAAAAAAAGCGGGCATTCCCCCCAATGATTTATATTTGAATTACATATACATTAGTTTGTAGAGATTGTCAATTAAAGGTAATGGGAGGAATAAGTTGCAGAGATAAAAAATTTCACTCGTCCACTCGTAATTACAAGTAGAATTTTAAAGAGAACTCAATGCACGACAAGTAGAAAAATGTTGCCTGTAAATATTAGTTTTAGAAGCTACTCATCCTGCAGGACGAGTGACTCTGAAAATATTTTTCTTGCCAGAGTTGAAAAATGTTTATTAAGTATGATAGTGTGGAAAGCTTGAAGTTTATTTGAAATAATCTGGAGTCTGTCCGCTAATTTGAACAAATCTGTACTTGTGTCATCTAAAATCTATACCCAATTTACTCAATATACAGTGTTTATTTTAGTCCTTATTTCTGTTGGCTTAATATTCTGAAGTTTTTGTTCAACAAGGTGGTCTTAAATTACTTCTTACATTTTGATTTTCATAAAGAAAGCTTTGAATTTTATATAAATGCTTAAAACTTACTGGTTGATTGACCTATTCTCTACTTCACATATTGAATTGTAGCGCACATCTGGATCAGCGGAAATTCACATTTATTTTTTACTGATGCCTGGTTTTGAGATCCATATGGGTTCCACCGCAATGTTTAAATCTACAGCAATGTAAACTTGCATAGACATGTTTTATTTATTTGCGATTCAGGTGTTTAATGAAAACAGATAACTCTATGTTTTTGTTTATTTATGTTTTTGTTTTATTTATGTTTTTGTTTGTTTATTTATTTGAAAGTATTTTGACACCTTAATTCAAAGTATACATGGAACGTTAATGTAATGTAAATTGTTAATTAATTTTCTTTAAAGGTTTATAACCACAATTAAGATATTGTTACTTACCTCAGTGCAAGTAAGTGAGAAAATCTTACCTATGAAGTTAATTATACCTTTTTGAGCCCAAGAACATGATTTTTACCTCGACTTTTCAAAGAATAGGCTCTTACAGGCGTCAGTGTCCAAGTTTGGTTAAGTTGTTGCATGCAAGTTTGTATCTTCAAATATACTGAAGGAAGTGGATTGAAACTTCACACACTTATTTGAGAGGGTAATATGAGGTCACCATTCAAGGCCCAAAACTTAAACATGGATTTTGACAGAATTATGACCCTTTTTGAACTTAGAAAATTAAATATTTCTGACATGTTATATGGCCATTTATAAACGTTTGTTTGTGGCTTGGGTTATTTTGCCAGAAAATTAAATATTTCTGACAGGTTATATGGCCATAAATGAATCTTTATTTGCAGCTTGGGTAATATTGCCAAACAACTGTTTATATAGGGCCATATAACCTGTCAAAAAAAATCTTTATAACTAATAATATACTGGGTCACGGATTGACATTGATAATAGACATTAAAGCACACACAATCTGTTTAGTTTGTAGTGCCAGAAAAGCAACCCCCAAAAAAATGATTAAAGAATAATCTTGCATAAATAAGCAATGAGTTAAAACAAACTAAAAGATTATTGCTTTTACTATAAATTTAGAATCAAAGGTGAATATCAAGCTGTTTGTCAGCTGTTTATATAAGCTGTGCATAGGTTTCTGCTAGCTCTTCATAACAGATGCAGTTACACTGCATGGGGTATTTATGAATGCAGTTTTACAAATGGTTAAGGAAGTGCGTTTTGTAATCATCTGTTACCCTTTACCTGAATTTCGTAATTGGACTTGTCCATCTTCAATTTTAGGACTGTCCATTATCATTTTTTGGGGATATCTTGATGAAAAATTGAGAGTTGATAAGCCAGTAGTATAGAGCCTGGTCAGACTGCATAGACTATACTGGTGGCAAAGGCTGACCACTTCCTGTTCTAGTGGGTTGGAGGGTTAAACACAAGTTTAAAGGCACATTATGCCTCAGAAATAAATAAATCTTTAACTACTAACATGAATTCTATAAAGTTTGAGTAATGGTTTTAGAGTATGTATTAAGGGTAATTGGCCAATGAATTACTTTCTTGGAAACAAAGTGTACCAAAAATAAAATTAAAGCATTTGAGAAATAAAAATAAAAGCATTTCTGAGGCATAATGGTTTTGAGAAAAATTCCAAATTCATTTAAAAGTCCCTGTGGAGGAATGATAAAGTACATGTATTTATATCTCAATAACATGAAACAAAGCACATAATAATATGACTTTTCATTTTATGTTTTAGGTAAACTGTTCAAATCGTCACAGATCCCGGTGATCGTGGAATTTTTCCTCATGTTTCATAAAGATAAACCAATTGATTGGTTATTAGATCATTACCTCAATGTCAAGGTCTGCAGTCCTGAAAAAGATAAGGTAGGTAAATCTGTTTTTTTGTTTACTTTCGTGATAAGGCGAAGGTGGTTGCTTTGTATTTTTAAGACCTTATTATCAATGTTTAAGAGGGCGTCTGTGGCCGAGTAGTTAAGGTCGTTGACTTCAAACAACCTGCCCTACTCACTGCTGTTTGTTCGAATCCCAACAGCGTCTTTGAATTCTTTCATCTTTCATGTGAGGAAGCTACCCATCTAGCATACAGAACGTCGGTGGCTCTACTCCGGTACCAGTTTGTGCCTGAAATAATGCACAGAAGGGCACCTGAGGTCTTCCTCCACCAGTAAAGCTGGAACATCGCCATATGACCTATACTGTGTTGGTGTGACGTAAAACCCAATAAAACAAACAAGCAATCAATGTTTAAAGATAGGCTACTCTGGTTTTAAGATCATAACTTTGTGTCAAGGTCTATGATGACAAGTATGTTTAAAAGAAAAGATAAGAAAAGGTAACTACATGTAGTTTATTTGATGTTATCTCAAGTCTGTCGATGTAAATGGTACTAAAAAGATAAAGTAACTACGTAGGGCTAGTGTCACAGTAAGCAGTAACAAAATATGAGATAATTAAAGGGGAATAACTGTGGTTTAAAGGAATATAACTGAAAATGCATAGGCTGCATTTCTGATACTGGAAATGTTGGTAACTGTAAGATATTAGCATCAATGTCATTTCAGATGTTTATTGAATAGGAAGGGAAATAAATCTTGCAGAAATATATATTATTCTCATATGATTTATTCTTCTTATAAAAGTTATGGACTACTTAAATGTGTCGATATCAAAGACTAGATTAAAAGAGTTTAATTATATTGAAAGATGAATATGGGTCAATAACTTATATTTATATTTATTAGAGATTATTGGTACTGTTCTTATACTTGAACAGTTTTTATTCATTAATTACAACAAATTATTCAACTTAAATAATCTATGCCCCTGCAGTGCCTTTGTTGCAAAAACTTTAATGTAGCCCATTATTCAAACATTTGAAAGTTATCAACGTGAAACCTTGCATATCAAGACAAGGTGCAGTTGTTAGTCAAGGGGCGTAATTCTGAAAGCTATATTTTTTGGAGTTATGCCCCTTATAACTGAGAATTTTTAACTGACAAGCGTTACCACTGCATGCAGTTAAAATAGACTTGCACTGTGTCCATTATGCATACTTAATCTTACAATTACTATTGAAGCAAACTAGAGCTAGAGCATACATGTAGTTAGGCATTTTAGAACAAAGTTAGGCAAACTTGACCAAATTTGGGTGAATTCAACCTTTTTGATTAAGACTGTTGTGAACATTTAAATAAAATCTTTATGCTTTTTTATGATTTTAAAATCTAATGCTTTATCTGAGTAACCAAACAAATCAGTTTTTGATGTGAATATTTTCAGAAACACTGTGCACGTATGATTGCCGAAGTTCGTAAAAGATTCAAGCCGTCACTGTTCCAACATGTGGGCATGCAGTCTTCACTGAAAGGGAAAACTCAGAAGTTAAAGGTATTGATATATTTTACTAGTTTACAGTTTGTTAAAAGATAAGTCATATTTCTTGTTCACAAGTTTACATTAGTAGAATGAAACTCAGTTATTTAATTGAAGATCTTACAGCTTTGACTGGCAAAATAGCATATCAACACAAACATCGTTTTGAAATTACATGTTTAGTTTTATCACAAACCTGTGCTGCTTTTGCGACTCAGTATTGCACAGCCTTGCACATATTTCGATGTGACGTCATTTGGTAATACAAACATAGCATTTATTTGCGCTAAAATTTAGCATTATACTGTAGGTGCTACAATGAAAATTGGTTCTTTTTCATTTCAAACGGTCTTTATTTTTTGTATATGATAAATTTTTATAGAATATTAAATTTGTGTAATTTCATTACTTAATTTATTGAACTCATTCAATATATCCAATATTAAACTTATACTCTTTCAATATCCTCTATAAAACATGTTTCTTTTTAACTCCGTTATGGAACAAGTGGTTGCAAAGTGTATTTGATTTTACGGGTCTGTTTCCTGGAACCGACTAATACTGGTGTCAGGCGTGACCCGAGTGGTGTTTAAAACCGTTATCCCCAGGTTGAGAGGCAGACACCTTAACCACTAGACCACCGCTGCTCATGACTTGTTGAAAAATAAGTGAAAATAATGGAATTTCAAACAACAGCTTTCAAAGTAGTGGATATCAAATAAAACTATGATTTCTTTGTACTGTTACATATTTTTTTACTCCAAGTACTGTTACATATTTTTTTCAATCCAAGGATCACATTATGTTGAATGTTGTATTAACAAATGAAGACATATGTTCACTTTTATTAATAGATAAAAATTTCAAGAAATAATTCCTATTCCTAAATTAATGTAGGAAAATTAATGTAAGACTATATTTAATGTGTAACAATTTCATGTAATGATTGTGTGTATTATTTACAGGATAAAGATTTTGGCAAACAGGCCATTTATCGTGCTCATGTAAATCCACCAGCAACAATTGTATCCAAAATCAAAGCATATCAAAAATATTTCATCAAAAAGGCGTACATTGGGGAAGACGTATTTTGGGGCTTGTCACCAACTGCAGGGGATACTGTTGAGATTAAATTTGATCCTGCCATAGAAATAGCCAGGTATGATTCCATGCATAAGTTTAAGCTGCATTTTTTATACAAAAAAGTGAAGCTATTTTCATGACTTCTCATTAGTGTATGTGTCTGTGTTGGTTAATCTTTATCGGTATTTTCCTTTTTTTCAAAAACTATGAAAGCTTTTCACTTCAAACTTGGTATACATAGTTATTGTGTCATTAAAGGACACCATTTCAAAAGGGCAGAAATTATTTTTTGCTAAAATTTTGCACCTTTTTCTGTACTGGTTTTATTTAATTGTTTAGCATGTAGAAAAGTAAAACACATTGTCTATGGACCAGTCTTGTTCAAATTTTGAGCTTTTCTTCTTTCCAAATAGAGCTATAATCACTTGTCTGTTTTCAGGGACAATTTTTTTTTTTCCTGAATGGAGTTATGACATTTACCCTTTAACTGACTGATCATGGAGGATAATTCTTCATCTAACACTTCAAAGTACAGGCTACTCCTTTCTGAGGTGCTCCTTGTTACAAATTTCTCTATCTTTTTTCCAGTTACTTATTTCGCAGTGGTAATTCAAACCATCCAGATGACAAGTTTCTAGACACTGTTGTAGAGATACTTCCTGAAGGTGCTAAAGATGATGCATTTGTTAAAGTGGGGGAATTTAACAAAGAGGGTCTTGCCAGTGCAGAAGTTGATGCCGATATTGGTAAAGTGTCAATACTTCGTCTGAAAGTCCTGAAAGAAAGCTCAAACTGGGTGATATTAAGTGAGGTAAACATTTGTTTTCTTTATCTTCCAAAGCTTGGTAGGGTTAGTTACATGTTCTGGTATATAAGCCTCTATAGGCAAGAAATGAGGCATCTATAGTTTGATAGTTAGGCTTCCATAGCCATCTAGAAGGAATTCTTTAGTGAAGTATAAACATTTGATAGCCAAGTAGTGAGGCTTCCATAGCTAAGTTAATTGGTTAGACTTCCATAGCCTTAAACCAAGTAATTAGGCTTCCAAAGTCAAGAAAATTAGATAGGGTAAGGCTCCCTTAGCCTAGTAATTTGGTTAGGCTTTCATAGCCATGTAAATTAGTAAGGATTTCTTAGTTACATGTTAGTAAATTAGTAAGACTTTCATAGCCATTTGAATTAGTAAGGCTTCCATAGCCAAATTGTAAGACTTTCATAGTCAAGTAAATTAGTAAGGCTTTCATAGCCAATTAAATTAGTAAGGCTTTCATAGCCAAGTTGTAAGACTTTCATAGCCAATTAAATAAGTAAGGCTTTCATAGCCAATTAAATGAGTAAGACTTTAATAGCCAAGTAAATTAGTTTAAGGATTGTGTAGCCAAATAAAGTAGGAAAGATTCCATAGCCAAAATAGTTGTAAGGCTTCCATAGCAAAGTAAGTAAGCCAAATTGTGAATTCATTGACTTAATAATTACCTTTTAGGATGTGTATTTTATTAAAAAAAAAACATAAAAAATTCATAAGTGTAGTTAAATGACTGAGAAATTTATTGTCTGGATGTCTTCCCTGCATAGATTTACAGTTTAAGTATATTGGTTTTGCTTATTGGTTATTCTTGGAAAAAAGGTCTTTTCATTTTCACTTGATGTTAAAAATGAGTGAATAGCTTCAAAATTTATTCACCGTAAATTGTATTTTTTTTTTAAAGTTGTATTGTTGTTGTGCTATGAATAAAGATGATAGAAAAAAAAAAACAACAACAAACAAATCAACATACTGAAAAAGGAAAAAAAATCTAGTTGATAGTCAATGTCTGTAGAAGTGTTAGCTGAACTTGGTCAATCGGTCAAAATATCAAATAATGTTCTTATATATTTACAGGTTCATATAGTGCCAAGGCAGACTAGCTGACCGGTCATAGTTTGAAAAAACATTGGAGTAATGATAACCCAGCAACAGTTCATGAAAACAGAACGCTAGGTTTCCAATCCGGGGTGCTTGCAATAGGAGCTGTTTAGCTCTGCTTTCACTCACTTACTTTCTTCATCTGTCTTAATCATTGCTGTTGTCAGTGACAAACTCTCACTTTCACAGGGATATAGACCCCTATTTATTGAAATAGCTCATGTGACAGATTTCAGCTATATAGTGGTCTGAAACCTTTTCATCTGTATAGTGGTCTGAAACCGTTTCATCTGTATAGTGGTCTGAAACCTTTTCATCTGTGTAGTGGTCTGAAACCTTTTCATTTGTATAGTGGTCTGAGACCTGAACATATTTCATAGATCATAGAACTCATTGTGTATTTAATGGATTCTCCCACAAAGGTTTGTCAGGCACTATATTCATTGCCAATTTCATTGCCATCATAATTATGTGATGGAATAAGGGTGTAATGCCCTAGCATTCAGAGAGAAACTTTTTATTTTGCGTGATGAATGCAGAGGTATTGCAGGTATAAGCATTATAAATAATTTATATATAATTTATGTGATAGACTTACATTTGTACAGGTGTCTGGGGTGTCAGGACAACCAATATTTTAGATCAATCTTACTAACCTGGTGAAAGAAATGGAATCATCTAGACTGGGATGCTTTCATTGTAAGATTTGTCTCCATTTATCAAATCAGTCTGACTATTTGGGAAAATAAATGTTTAAAAAAATTTGTGGGGCTCGTTTAGTGGATGAAGAATGTTTGATTATCACATTCTGACATTGCAACTGACAATATTAATATTCAAAAGTTTTACTATAGAAATTGATAATTGTGTATCATTCTATGTCTGAACCATTCAATTCATTCATCTGTCTCCAGTTTCACTACCATCATATTATGATATTTTAATACCAAAGAAACACTTTTTTATGGCTTACAGAGATCATGAAAACAATTTATAGATATATTTAATAATAATATTGAAAAGGAAGGCAGGGGAAGATAATACTTTTACTCACTAGGTGTAAAACATGCATTGATCTAATTTTAAAGTTGGTTATAGAGAAAGACTTTTGTAAGACTGTAGTCTTACAGTAAAACTTTCCCGCCAAAATAATTCCAATATCGGCCAACATCATAGCAAATCGGTTATTTCTGAAACATTATTTTTTCAAAATCTTTGACATTAGATTATTTACAATCACTCATCCTTTATTGCATTGTACTGAATTCCGGTTAAAAATTGTTGAATACCGAAGATTGTGGGAAAAAAAACGTTCCGGAAATATCCGATTTATTACGATATTGGCCGTTTTTAGAATTTTTTTGGCGGGAAAACTTTACAGTAAGACTACCTTAATACAATTATGGAGTATACATCCTCGTTGTTTATAAGCTGTATGAGTCAATTCTACATTTATTTTTTGTCTGGCGTGGTATACTTTGTGATATATTTAGATTGTTAATGTAAATGTTTTGAAAGTTCCTTTTTGTATTTTATCCCATCTTTATTTTTTATCCATTCTGTATGTATTTTATTCCTTTTGTATTTTTGTTAATGTCTCATATGTTTGAAAGATTTGCCAGAAATATAAAGCTTTCACTCTTTTTTAGGACAGTAGCTTGCACTTGCCAGTACCGTCTATGAACAGGCTCAATCAAACTGAGCCTGCAACATTTTCACTTTTTTACCATTTTGGACATTCTACAGAGATCCTTTTTTTATATGGTTCAAGTTAAATATCAGTATGATTTAGGTCAAAACTGATGCACAGTTTTGAACTGTACCAAACTTACAACTGTAATATATTAAGTGCTTGCTTGTAAGTAGAAAAAAATAAAGATTTTTTATTTTAGAAAATCATGATTTTAAATCACAGAATATAAGGGTAATGTATTTTGGACCTAATTATGGGTATACTAATTATTGGTATTTTTATATACCCCGACCAGTATAACATTTAATTATGCCAGTAATATTTATGGGTAATGAAGAACTTACCCCAGAACTTCAAATATTCATATGCTTACTATTAATAATGGTCAAAATTTTAATTCCCATCCAAGTGGTGGTCCCAGCATAAAAGGTTGACTGTTGGTGGATCTAGTCAATATGTTAAATTTTGTGTTCAGTATCTTAGGTGGCCATAATTGCATTTTATAGTGTAAGTTTCTTGTAACATTTCACAAGTCAAGTGTTCAGTATTACATATATCGGTACAAACTGTTTGATTTTTGAGTTTTTGACGACACCCCCTCTTTATATCTGATATAATTTTACTGTGATTCGCCCTTCCAGTGACCTATTAGTAGTTGGCACTCAACCAAGAAAAAAAAAGGAATTTAAAAAATGAATGATTGTTCCTTGTGCAGAATCCTTGAATACTTGTGAATTAACTGCTTGTGGATTTATAGTGTCAGTTTTGTTTAAACAGGAACTTGTTACTAAATAAAACAGAAATGAGGAGCTAATTACTAAACAAAACAGCAACCAGAAATGATAGGGCATTTTTTTTTTATCTGTTTGCATAAGGTGAGGTCTCATTTACCATCTCAGACACAAGAGTTCGGACTTCATTTGTGTACCAACATTTTGCTCCTATAACTGCTCTGACTTATCCCCTCTATCCTAGTGGCACACAACTTCTAACCCTTACCCTACTGGCTGCCACAGAATATACCTGTGCGACCAGTGCGGACGAAAATCATAGGCTGCACTGTTTGCTCTTCACTCCGTATTTTTTTTGTAAATTTCCCTAAAAATGATGAATCGTCTAGATTGAAAGTTTGTATTTTGAATTTTTCTCTAAAAGTGATGAATTGTCCATATTGAAAGATTGTCAAATCCATTTAAAATATTTAGTGTGGCAAGAGTTTAGATAATTATGCATGCATCTGCTATCTGCATTGTTATAGTGAAGTTTAGTATCACACATAACTGTTTGTAGTTGTTGTTGTTGTTTAATGTAATGCTATTTCTGCCTCAATTAACTGCGGTGCTATTTATTATGTTACTAATGTACTTGCATCTTAGAGGTCTTCTTTTCTACTTATATAGCTGGAATGTCTGCATGATTATTACTACCTATGCTTAAAGGCACACAAAATGAAAAAAAAATCTTCTTTCTTCAGAAAAGTTTAAATAATTATTACTAAGTTTTAGAGCATGTTACATGCTTATCACCTGAAGGAAGTAGAGCTGGATGTGAAATTATTTGTTGTTAAAGAAGCAAAATGTAGTCAAAATAAAATTTTGACTTCCGTACAAAATACTAAATCACTTTAACTATTAATTGCCAAAATTCAACAGCAGCAAAAGATGATTCAGGTAATTGGCCAATGAGTATTTTTTTCTCTTTTTTGGGCTTCATTTACAAAACACGAAAAATAGAAAAAGGCTTTTGAGTTATTAGAATAAAAGCATTTTAGGGGGCATAATGGGCCTTTAACGTGACATAAGCTTACAGTTCAGCACATGCGTAAATTGTGGAGAAAGTGTGTCTTTCATTGTAATCCGTAACACGACAATGTTGAGTTTTGTTTGGTGGTTTTGTTTAAATCTTTCCTTTTTGTCAAACATGATTTTATCCTTTCATTTTTGTCTTCATTTGATTTTTACCAATTAATAGCTACATTTTTATCTTTTATGTGTCATGCCAAATGTTTTAAAAGTTTTATTTTTAAAAGAGTTCTTCCTTTTAACATTATTAAACTTACACGGAGCAGCTTTAAATATTCGGCTTTAAATAATAAAGTTTTACTGTACCTTTTTACATATCAGTTAAAATTCTTTCAGCTCATGGTAAATTAATTATCTGAATTTTGATACGGTAATAATAGTGGTGGTCTTTTGTTTGTTTTGTTTTTGGTAGTTGAAAAATTTGATTTTAAAATGTTTCTTATTTGTATTTGGTAGTTGAACTATCATTTTTAAAGTTGAACTGTCACATTTTAACATAAAATTGTTTTATTATCACATTTTTTAGATGAAATTTAATTTAGTTGAGCTATCAATGTTTAGAATGCATATTTATTATCTTAATAAATAGCTGAACATTTTATATCACAATATGACACATTTTATGTTGTTAATTTCATATAGATAGTTCACGGTTTTTACAAAATTTACCTCCCTTGCCTAAAGTGGCAGCCATTTTGGGGGTCAATATTTGATATAATTGGCAAAATATAAAAAAGTCAATATACTCAGCTGATTTAGGGAAATTGTCAAATTCTTTTTATACATATGAAGTATTATTATAGCACCAATATGTTAAAGATTTTTATTAGTTTCCATGAAGATGATAGAATTATGAGAGACTTTTATCTTATCTTAGGCATAGAATATATAAGTAATGACCCTCAAAATCGCCGCCAGGGGGAGGTGTGCATCTTAACAAATATTGCCGGATGAAATTGAACTGTAACAATCCTGTCCTACAATCGTTCAAGATAAATCATGTTTTTCATTTTTTACAAGTTTTTGTGCCAAAGAAAATTCAAGGATATTCTGTTATTTTCTCTCATATTTTACCAGTTATAAAAGTAGAATTGAATGTTTAAAAATGATTTGGCTTGAACACTTACAATGCATCATAATGATGAAGATAAATGTGAAGATATTTTAGAGAAGTAATCTATTTTATTTGGTTTAAACATATTTATTTAAGCTTGATTGCCAAAGAAGTTCTTGCAACTTATATTAAATATTAATCACTTTCCCAACCCCTACTGATGTCATATGAAGAAGCATAGTCCTGATCTGATTAGGGCTCAAACCCATTATCCCTGGGTTAAGAGGCAGACACCTTAACCACAAGACCACCACTCCCCATTATCTATTTTATTTGATAAGGGGAAGCAAAATCATTTAATTTATTAAGGGGAAGTAAATATCCATTAACATTGTCAAAGTTTGTTGAAATTGTCTCCCATTGTGATGTGATATGTTAGTTGTTTATTAAATTTCTACTGTGATTTTTTCAATTCATATTTCTTTGAATAGAGTCAAAGAAATGCAGCATTTAGGTGATATTATGTTCATTTTTTCGTTGTCAAGTTGAGCTGAATTAGCTTTGTACATGTATTTCAAAAGAGTGACTGCATTTATAATATTGGTGAATGACCAATAATTGATGTCAAATTTATTTATAATCTAGCATATAAAAAGGACTGCCCCACTCTTTTTATCAATTTGATGTTGGTGATAAATTCTAAAGGCTATTTATAGAAATTTCCTGTGGTTATTTATTACTTTTTGCATAAAAAGTAAAAAAAAAAATCAAAATACTGAAATCAGTTATGACAAAATGTAAAGTATTGTATGCCGACCTTTACTTTAAGACTAGTAATTCATACTTTGATGAGCATAATGTCACTTTAAACTTTTGATTTTATAGCGGATTTGTTATTGAATGAATGCAATGATGCGTGACAGAGACAAATAGAAAATATCAAGTCTTTTTTTGGTAGTAAAAGAAAAACTGGTTTTATGACAATATTGAGGTTATGTAAGTGAACTGGGGACCAACTCTAGATAGGAAAGGATTTGCTGTGATGTCTAAGATATTGGTTGAAAATTATGGTTGAATTAAGGTAATCTTTGTTGGTTTTATAAATTAACGACCATTATCTATGCCAAAGGGCCCTTGGTGTTAAAACGTATTCGTATACTTTTTTCATTTAGCAACCCAGATGTGGGTTCAAGGTAGAAGATTGTCCCAGAAAGATTGAATTAAAATTTAACTTTTGATCAGTATTTTATACTGCGTGTCGGCCTTTCATCTACAAGCATGTTTTAAAGA